GCTCAGCCAGACCTTCGATTTTCAAATTCAGTATAACAATTTTCAAACATACAGGAAAACAAAAACAGTGACAAATTAGGATTCCAAAAATTAAGACTGACTGCGTCGCTTCATCTACTCTTTTTCCTTTTTCTTCGCTGAATTAGACAACCTGTTTCACCCCTATTTTATGATGCATCCCATTTCTATTTTTTTTAAAATATTTTATTTATTTATTTATTTGACAGCACAAGCAGGGGGAGTGGCAGGAAGAGGGAGAGGGAGAAACAGGCTCCCCCGCTGAGCTGGCCAATCGGGACTTGATCCCAGGACTCTGTGATCATGACCAGAGCAGAAGGGAGCCACTTAATTGAGACACCCAGGCGCACCTGATGCATCCCATTTTTAGTAGACTCTTAACATATCAAGTTGGCTAAATTAAAAGAGATTGATCGATCACACAGCGCTGGCAGGGATTTGGGTAAGAGGCACTCAAACAGTGGATTAAAGAGGGAAAATTACTACTCAGTTAAAAAATTCATAGATGGTAGGATTTCTGCAAAGATGGTCCCAACAATTCCTTCTCTGCCTCTAACTTATATGTTATTCCTCCCATCAAGAAGTGAAGTTTAGGGGCGCCTGGGTGGCTCAGTCGTTAAGCGTCTGCTTTCGGCTCAGGTCATGATCCCATCGAGCCCCACATCAGGATCCCTGCTCAGCGGGAAGCCTGCTTCTCCCTTTCCCACTCCCCCTCCTGGTGTTCCCTCTCTCACTGTCTCTGTCAAATAAATAAAATCTTTAAAAAAAAAAAATACAGCAGTGAAACTCCAGAGAGTCAATTTTTCAGTATATATTTCACAACTAAAGAAGACATCTTCAGAAAGTAGATGTGATACAACTGGAAGCCTACTGCAATAGAGGACTTCAGACAGGATTCTCCAAGATACTCTAGAAGCAGCTGATCTTCAGAATTATATAGCTAACCAAAGACCTCTGGAATAAATCGATGACCTCATAATGAATAGCTTCTGCCCAAGATGTCAGACCAAGACTTCTGTCAAAGTCCTGTTGTGTTTTTCTTCTGCTTGCTTATATTATTTTCCTCATTCCTATAGGTCTCTGGTTGTTACCCACCCATAATGGTTCTTTTTTCTCTTTTTTTTCTTCTTTAATATAATTGTTAGGTCAGACATATTCATTCTAATGCCATTCTTAAATTATCCTGAACAGTAAGCACTACTCTCAGTCATACCACCTGCTAAATATGCCATCCATTGCCAGGCCACCATTACCAATTCTGGTCTCATCAAATGAGATTATAGGGAATTACAGCCAATGGTTTTTCCACTTGTACCTACAGGGACAAAAGACCTTAAATCAACCTGTGACTGCTAGTGTCCCTGTCTCCCATAAAAGGCTAGCTATTACAATCTAATGATCAGACCACAGGTAACTGTAAATTTGAATTTGACAACCTTTGTAGTGTAATGGGTGTTACTTATCACTTAGATAATAGGAATCCAAATAGGTAACAAAGCTAATGTAAGGCTTTGGTCCCAATCTCATGTCATGAACAGCCTCTTTCCCCTTGATTTCTATGTGCCCCTACTATATTCTGCTTCCTTTGCAGCCAGGACAACTGTCTTGTTTTTCTCAGACTAAAACCTAATGCAGTTTAGGAATAGTATGCTAAGATCTGAGTGTGTACAGAAATCCTTTGTACAAAAATCCTAACTGTAAGTCACGGATGCTGGAAATTCTAACTCAGATAGGAGCTCCAGAATGAGGAGCTTGAATATTCAGGCACTCGGGCGAATTGCTAACTCATTGTTTATGTGAACAATCAGAGCAGTATTTCCAACGGAGGGAATTAAAAAGACTTTAAAAGACCTATCACTGGGGTGCCTGGGTGGCTCAGTCGTTAAGCGTCTGCCTTCGGCTTGGGTCATGATCCCAGAAAGCCCCGCATCAGGCTCCCTGCTCAGCGGGAGGCCTGCTTCTCCCTCTCCCACTCCCCCTGCTTGTGTTCCCTCTCTCGCTGTCTCTCTATCAAATAAATAAATAAAATCTTTAATAAATAAATAAATAAAGACCTATCACTGACTCTGGCAGAAGTTATTAATGATATCACCTCTTCCCTACATGGAAGATCTGTAAATCTGCCTTATTTCATTTGCACAAGTAGTTACAGGCACTTGCGCTACTCTAAACTTCTAATTGACTAACCATGGTGGTATCTGTGCCATGGCTATAATTTCTTGCTGTTCTTAGATATGTGAAATAGACATGGTAGCACTGGCTATATATTGCCTTAAAGAAAACACTACTTGGCTCAGTGTTTCTGCACAACTCTATTATTAAATGATTGCTGTGATGATACAACAACAAAAATAGGATACAGTTTATATGGGGACAACTGAACAATCCCCAAGTTGTGAAGATCTGGAGGTCTAGTATCTCTGAATTGGCCAATGACCGAAGAGGGGGAACTGAAGAACTAAATATACCAAGTGACAGTGGACACACCATATATGACAATAGAACTCTGACACACACCTCTGCAGCAACCAGCCTGAAAGGCAAACCACAGCCTCTACAGCAATCAGCTCTGAACAGCCAGAACTTGGTCAATGACTGCTAGTTCCCCTATTTTGTTTGCCCCCACTTTCAACTTAGGATCAACCAGAGAGAGCCAAATAAGCTCCCCAAACCAATCACATAAGATGTCCTGCTCCTAGCTAACCTACCTCCAGCTCTCCCATACCAACAATCTCCAATCAGGGCATACCTGAAGCTTTGTTCTTTTTCTTACTTTCTGCATGCCTCTGGATCTCGGCCAAAGGCAGGTGATAGTAGCTGATCCTTTGCTATAGCAAGCTCTGAATAGCCTTTGTGTTCTCATTTAAGTGGGCTTCACTTATTTTCACAAGTACAGAGCCCTTCATCTTACAGAGATGGCTGAGACCCAGAGAATTAAGGATGTGACTTCACACCCAAATGGCTTTGCAGTACTGGGTCTTGAGAAACAGATTCCTGGTCATCTGTCAATATCCATCATCCTCTTTTCCCTTAATAACAGAATCCCCCAAATTTTACTGGGCTCTTTGCTGCCCAGGACAAAGACCAATCTCTGGCTTCCCTTGCCATCAGCTCTGGTCCTGTATCTAAGTTCTTGCCAGTGATCTGTAAGCAGAAGTGGTATATAGCAGTTATTTGTTGAGGAATATCTGAAGTACAGTCTAAATGTTTATGCTTTATTTGGATAATAATTGAAGAATTGAGGATGTGGAGAAAAGGAACCCTCTTGCACTATTGGTGGGAATGCAAACTGGTGCAGCTGATGTGGAGAACAAAGGCAAAAGAATGTAGATAATATTAAGTCTCCTTACAACTTACAGCCCATTGACAAATACTTGGATTAAAAAAAGAAGAGAAAAAAAATAATCAAAGAAGCATTTTCACATTGACTTGAGTTGTTGCTTCTGTCATAAAGAACTTGGCTCGGGTGCCTGGGTGGCTCAGTTGTTAAGCGTCTGCCTTCGGCTCAGGTCATGATCCCAGGGTCCTGGGATCGAGTCCCACATCGGGCTCCCTGCTCGGCGGGAAGCCTGCTTCTCCCTCTCCCACTCCCCCTGCTTGTGTTCCTGCTTTCACTATCTCTCTCTCTGTCAAATAAATAAATAAAATCTTAAAAAAAAAAAAAAAAGAACTTGGCTCATCTTTGTCCTTGATTCCTGGGAGGTAACCCCTAAATCCTTGGAATTTCCTGAGTGATAAGTGTCTTTGTTATTCATAGTGGGTCTCTGGGACCACACCTGATAGTTCATGCTAATGAGATGACTCTTGGGATGCCTGGGTAGCTCAGTCAGTTAGGCATCTATCTGCCTTCGGCTCAGGTCATGATCCCAGGGTCCTGGGATCAAGTCCTACACTGACTGGGCTCCTTGCTCAGCAGGGAGCCTGCTTCTCCCTTTGCCTGTTGCTCCCCCTGCTTGTGCTCTGACAAATAAATAAATCCTTAAAAAAAAAAAAAAAGATGACTCTTGGTTGCCCCTGATTTATGCTAATTAGATTCAAGATGGGGGCTGACCAAGTCAGAAGGCTGACCAAGTCAGAAAGACCAATCTTGTGATTAGAGAGTTGGGACTTTGAGCCATGTGGTATCAGCCTGACTTCCAGGAAGGGAAGGGGCACTGGAGATTGAGTTCAACTGTGTGGTCAACCAACTATGACAACATAATGAAACCCCAGTGAAAACTGGACTATGAAGCTCAGGTAAGCTTCCCTAGTTGGCGGTACTCTGCATAGTTACACATTGCTATACCAGCAGGTGCTGTGTTCCTGGGGAAGATGAAAGCCTCACATTTGAGATGCTCTCAGACCTCAATCTATGTGCCTCTTCCTTAGGTTGATTTTGATTTGTATCTTTTTGCTATAATAAAGTTATCATAATAAATATAGCCCTTTCCTGAGTTCTGAGATTTGCTCTAGAGAATTATCAAACCTGAAGGAGTAGTGGAAACTCCCAAATTTGTAGCCAGCTGGTCAGGAGAGTAGCATAGGGACCCCCAAATTTGTGGCTGGTGTCTGAAATGAGAGCAGTCTTGTGGGGTACTGTACTTTAACCTGTGGAGTTTGGCCTAATTCTGGGTAGTTGATATGAGAATTCATTGTAGTGCTACAAAATAAAATAGCAATGAGTTTTTATGTACACACATACCAACCCACCCCCCAAAGATGGAACAATGTCAATCTATATTTGAATTTGAAAAATAATTACATGAAGCAACATTGTATTTTTAAAGAAAATATTTAATAGGTAGTTTTCTAGAAGGAAAGTTTTTCATCTAGTACAAAAGTGTGAAGTCAGGGGCACCTGGCTGGCTCAATCAGAAGAGCATCTGACTCTTGATCTTGGGGTTGTGAGTTCAAGCCCCATGTTGGGCATAGAGATTACTTAAATAAATAATATTTTTTAAAATGGGATATATCTATACAGTAAAATATTTTTTTTTTAAAAAGTGTGAAGTCAGAAGCAGTGAGAAAACATGGGCAATACAAGTTTTTCCCAAATTAACACATGGTTAGTAAGTACCTACTGTCTGCTCATTTCTGAGAGGAAGTATGAGAAATTATCTGAAGCAGCTGATAATCTGGTTCAGGAGACAAGAAAGTGGCAAGCTGATAAACAAATGATTTAACTAGATCAAGACAGTAATAAGAACTATCCCAAGACATCTTTCATTTTTAAAAACCTTAAGCAAACACAAATGCTTTTATAATTGCAAATCAGTTATGACTTCACATCAGTGTTCAAGAGAATTCTTCCCTGATGAGAGGGTATTTGAACAGGGTTCTAATTATTAGGCTTCAGAGAAGTGGAGAGGGCATTCCAGGCTGGTGGAACAGGCAGGGGAGTCTGAAGGTATGTCTGAGGTATGGCAAGCAAATTAGTTTGTCTGTAATAGAGGTTCTTGTCAGGAGCAGCAGGAGGTTAAGGCAGAGTGGAGTGGGCATTAAATGCCAAATTGAGGAGTGAGGATTTATCTTGTAGGCAGTACAAAGGCTTTCAGACAGGGCAGTGGGTACAAACTGATAAAAAATGGTTACCATGGCAAAGATACACAAGAAAGATAGATGTTAAGCAAAGATCAGCTACAAAGTTGCAGGTGTCCAGGTATATAAAGTGACTTAGGTTGGGGTTAGAAAGGGTACTGGGATAAAAGGTAAGACAGAACAAACCAAGCTATTACTAATATAAGAAATTTGCTATTTCTCTCCTGTGAACTTTGGCTCTCTGGAAGGAAATCCCCATGATTTCTAGGTTCCTGGACTGGAATTCTGATCTCAGCTGTCAGATGCCTCCTGTTCATCCTTTCTGCCTGCACCTGCCTTAGCCAACCGGCTGGGCCCCTAGATTCTGCCTGTCTGCATGGACCCACTTTGAACTGAATCCCTGAAGTCTAGGCTCAGCTTCCTCATCTGGACCTAAAATGCGTGAAGGACTGTCTTTAGTACAAGCTAATCTTTTTAGTCAAGGCTCTCCTGCTCTCTGCTGGCTCCTACTCCTGGCTTCTCCACATAAATTTCAGATGCATCATGATAGGAAATTGAGATCCAGTAAGCTTAGGGTTAACTCTTACAGAAAATAAAGACATGCAGATGGCTTGAAGTTACCAGACAAGATAGGAAAAGTAGTTTAGCAATAGTTGGTATATCTGTATATTTGGTATTTTTTTTTTAAAAATTTTTACTGAGGTGTAATTTACATACCATAAATTTCACCCATTTTGTGTGCACAATGCAGTAATTTTTAGTAAATTTACTAAGTTGTTCAACCATCACCATAATCCAGTTTTAGGACATTTGCATCACCCCAGTAAAATTCCTTGTAACATTTGCATTTACTCCCAGTTGCCTTTCCCGGCAGCAGGCAACCACTAATCCACTTTGCCTCTGAGGATTTGCCATTTCTGAACATCTACTATAAATAGAATGGTGCCTGGCACCTGGCTTTCACTTAGAATAATGTTTTTGAAGTTTTGATTTTTTTTCATACAATACCCACATTTTAATGATTTTAATGTTTAAAAAGATTTTATTTCAAAAATCCCAAATCTCGTAGCATGAAGATCTAATAAAAATTGCTTTTTGCTCAAACTTTAAAAATACTACTCCAGTGCATGGGGGGTTTTGTACAGGAAGAACTTCAGTCTCTCAATCTCAAAACCACAGCTGTGAACCAGAAGAAAAAGAGGCCCAGCCTAGTGCATGGCATTTTCAGATCAGTTTCCTTAGCCCTAAGATAGGGTCTGGCTAAATCAGTGGTGGCTCTCTACCTAGCTCAGCTTACATTCTCTTCACCTACACAATAACACCTCTGCTCCCATTAGTAACGGGACAGGGAGGCGAAGCATAGTGCAGATATAGAGAGCCCCCACCAGGAAGAAAACCACCAGATTTGATTTTTCAGATTCCCTTCAGCTCTTGTTTTATGAATCCCAAGTCTGAAAGGAACTTTCCCCACATTCATTAAGTTTCCAGGGTTTCTCTTTGGAGTGAAGCCTCAATGTATGCTGAGGCCTGAACTATACTAGTGGGTTTTCCCAGTTTCACCAAATTCAAAAAGTCACTCTAGGACACATTATCTGATGTGCAAAATGAGTGGAACATCGGCCAAAGGCTTTTCCACAGCATTACATTCCCAGGGCTTCTAACTAGCAAGGTGAGTTTACTGATATTTATAAAGGAAAGAGGTTTGGCTGAAGGCTCTCCCACATTCACTATTTCCATAGTGTTTTTCTCAATAAATTCTCTGATGTTTATTAAGAGATGAGCTCTAATAGAAGGCCTTCCCACATTTATTGCTTTCAGAGGACTTCTCTTTTATATGTGTTCTTGGTGCTTAGTAAGGGAAGAAGTATTACAGATGGCTTTTACCACACTTGAGTTATCTGGTATTTACTTACTGAACAGTATGTGACTGAAGGCTGTGTCATACTCATTGCATTGATAAGCCTTCTTGCCAGTAGAAACTGTCTTATGTTGAATAATTTGTGTCCTCTGACAAAAGCCTTTCCAAATCAATCACATTTACTTGGTTTCTCACTAATATGGAACCTCTGGTGTTTGATAAGAGGCGAGGTGTGACTGAAAGCCCACCTTCTCTCTTGACATCGATAGAGCTTCTCTTTACCATGTACTGTCTGATGTTGAACAAGATAGGTCTTCCAACCAAAAGTCTTCCTACATACATTACACATATAGGATCTCTCTCCAGTGTGTGTCATGTGAATATTGTGTGTATTCCAGCTGAAAGCCTTCCTACATTCACTGAATTCATACGGCTTTTTTTCCAGCGTGACTTTTCTGATGTTTAATAAGGGATGCAGTATGAGCAAAGGCTCTCCCACATTCATTACATTTGTAGGGTTTCTCTCCAGTATGAAATCTATAATGTTGAGTGAGAGATGAACTTTGGCTGAAGGCTCTCCCACATTTATTACATTTGTAAGGTTTCTCTCCAGTATGAAATCTATAATGTACGATGAGAGAGGAACTCTGACTGAAGGTTCTCCCGCATTCCCTGCATTCATAGGGCTTTTCTCCAGTATGAGTTCTCTGATGTTTAATAAGAGACGAAGTATGTCCAAAGGCTCTTCCACATTCATTACATTTGTAAGGTTTTTCTCCAGTATGAAATCTATAATGTAAAACAAGAGATGAACTCTGGCTGAAGGCTCTCCCACATTCACTGCATTCATAGGGCTTTTCTCCAGTATGAGTTCTCTGATGTTTAATAAGGGATGAAATATGACCAAAGGCTCTTCTACATTCACTGCATTCATAGGGCTTTTCTCCAGTGTGACATCTCTGGTGGCGCCTAAGTTCTGACTGGAAATGGAAAGACTTCCCACATTCATTACATTTACAAGGTTTCTTTCCTGAATGGGTTCTCTGGGAGTTATTTCTCCCTGAAGTCTGTCTGAATTCTGTATCACATTTATAGGATCCTTCTCCTATAGGAACACTGTGTTGGTTAACTAGGACTGATCTTAAGCCTAAACTTCTCCCAAATTCACTCCGTTCATGATCTATCTTAAGGGTGGTAGATCTGTGAGTGATTGACATTTCTTTCAGATGTCTCTCCTGGTTTTTTGGATGTATTTCTAATTGGTCATCACAACCATAGGTTACTTTCAGTTTGCAGAAGCAGAGTTCATCTCTGACATGTTTTTCCACTGATGCTATCTGGAGTAATTCTTCTTTGGAAATTCCCTGATTTAGTATTGATTCCTTGGCTTTAGGCCTTTTCTCCCAGTCTGAGGGGGGAAAAAAAAAAGACATTCTAGTATTAACTGTTTCATGTGCCCAGAGGAAGTAAAGTCCTATAATGGATGTAAGATAATCAAGTCTTAAAATAATATCTGGGATGTGTAGTTTCTTTCAAGTATAGTGTATATCTGAAGAAGGTTTTGGAGTTATCAAGAAGTGATAAACAAATGAATGGAGATTAGGAAAACCTGAAAAAATAGTGATTGGATTCCAGTACACAAGGTAAGTCCAAAGATCATAAAGATGAGAAGAGGGTAGGAAGATGTCCTCCACAGTCCCCTCAGCCCCTCAGTAATATATTACTGTATATAATTGTGATAGGCAAAATAATCCCCCCCCCCCAAAGACATCCATGCCCTAATCCCAAGAACTTGTAAATATGTTACCTTATATGGCAAAAGGGACTTTGCAGATGGAATTAAGGGCCCAGACCTTTAGATGGGTATATTATCCTGGATTATTCAGATGGGCCCAATCTAATCACGTAAGTCCTTAAAATCAGAGAACATTTCCTGGCTGGGTCAGAGAGATGTGTGAGAAGGACTCAGCCCACCATTTCTGGCTTTGAAGGTGGAGGAAGGGCACCATGAGCCAAGGAATGTAGCAGTCTCTAGAAGCTGGAAACATTCCTCAGTTGACAGCCAGCAAGAAAACAAGGATCTTAGTTTCACAACTGCAAGAATTGGTTCTGCCAACAATTCAAATGCCAGAAAACAGAATCTGCCCTAGCAACTCCAGAAAGGAACACACCTCTCCTGATATCTTTTGTGAGACCCATGCCAGACTTCTGACCTATGAACTATTAATAAACTTGTGTTGTTTAAAGTCATTAAGTTTGTATTTGTTTGTTTCAGCAATAATAGAAAACTAATACAATAATAGTAACACTTTTGAAGAGGTAAATGATTAGTGATGCCAGTGCTCCCAGAAGCCAGATTCTGAGTCAGTTAGGTCTTATGTGACCCCTGGAGATCTGGATGTTTAACAAGCTCCCTGAGAGATTCTGAAACACAGCCATGTTTGTAGAGCACTGTCAACAGACAGGTATTTATCTTAAGACTAGATCCAGAGGTCACACCCTTGTTCCCATTCTAGAAGGAAAAAAGATCAAGAAAATATTAATATAGCAGAGATCAGCAACTTCCCTCTCTGTTCTCTATTCTAGGCTCCTTTAATGAGGCCCAGCCTGTGCTCTCAGGATTTGAGCACTGATTTCCTGAGATTTACCTCTGACCCAGGCTATGATTCTACCTCACAGATGGACATTGGCACAGACTGTCACCTTCCCCCATTGTGCCTGGGCTCCACATGGCAGGCAGGAGAGCCTGAGTCCAGAATTCTGCTCCAAGAGGTGAAGCCTGTCAGGTACTCTCAAGTTACCTAGGAATACATCATCTCAAAGAGATGACATCAACAGACAGCAAGGAGAAATTTTTGCTCCTGGAACCACCTCTGTTGAAGCTCAGCTTAATCAAGCTTGAAGTGTCTTCACCTTGATCGTGACTTCTGTCTGTCCTAGCCTGTAACTCTTTAATTTCTAGGCTACTCTACTGTTTGGTCTCACTAACTCTCTTAGCCTTGCTGATATAGGATAGCCTGGCCATTTACAACTGTCAATCTTTAGATTCCATCCAACAATGACCATATGACATCTAGTGATGCTGAGTGGCACCAAGAACCCAGAAGGGGTGAGCAGAGATGGGTACCAAAGGAAGTGTAAATGCTAGAGAAGAAAATGAGCATCGCTTCTTCTGACACCAGATATAATTACAAAAGCCTAAGAGTATTCAAAATGTTGCAGTGGAGGGCTCCTGACAAGTGGTCTTACCTTCTCAAAGGAAAGCCCCGTGACCAAGGGTTCAGGGCAATTTCTCACCCATGGCTGGTCCTTATTATGTGGATGCTGCTTAGGTCTCACTCACTCACCTGTTGAGATTTCTCCCTCTAACACATAGGGCTCTTTCCCTTCCTCCATCTGGGAGATCACATATGGTTTAGACACCGGAAGCCCTGATGGTAGAGAAAAAAGGATCATGACTGTGTATGTTAGAGGCCAAGGCTTCGGGCCTAGGTCTTTCTGGGGGAGACCAGAGTGTAGATGTGGAGAGCCTCCAAAGAATAGGCACTGTAAAATATTAGGATCAGAATCATGAAACTTATTATTACAATTTCATATGGAGCAGGACTTTTCCTAGGAATGAGAACCCCAAAGACAATGTAAATGTCTGATTCCATAACCCCAGGCCAAAACTCAGCAAACAGGTCTAGAAACCCCAAGCTTTTAAACACAATGAAATAAAGATGGCAGGCCTGACAGGCAGGCTTTGGGCTTTGGAGGAGCTGAGCTCACCCAGAGAGGCCAGGTTCTTGAAGTTCTCCAGCATCACTGCCCTGTATAGGTCCTTTTGAGCAAGGTCCAACTGCCCCCATTCCCACTGGGTGAATTCCACAGCTACATCCTCAAATGTCATCAGATCCTGAAACACAGAAGACACTCTTATACCCTCAGGGAGCACACTCTTATACCCTCAGGGAGCACACTAACAGCCCCGGGGGGGAAGAGTGGGTGGATCTCTGAGTAGAACCTTAGGATGTAGAAGGGATTCCAAGAGTTTCTAGCTATCCCAATGCCCAGTTTTGGGTTTGTCATCCCCAAAATATTTTAAGCTACTCCAGGGATTGTATTACCCTTACTACTTGGAATCCTACCCAATGCCCACTTTTGTCAGTATCACGCTGCTTAGAAATACAATCAGGATCTCAAGAGAATCAGGCCTACAGAGACATTCTGCTTAGGTAAGGGAGATAAATGCAATCCATTTCCTCAATCTTCAACATTTAATTAGAATCAACTGGAAGTAACGGCTAATACGTTTTGCATTTTTTTTTTAAAAGATTTTATTTATTTATTTGAGAGAGAGAGAATGAGAGACAGAGAGCACGAGAGGGAAGAGGGTCAGAGGGAGAAGCAGACCCCCCGCCGAGCAGGGAGCCCGATGTGGGACTCCATCCCGGGACTCCAGGATCATGACCCAAGCCGAAGGCAGTCGCTCAACCAACTGAGCCACCCAGGCGCCCCGTTTTGTATTTTTTTAAAGATTTATTTACTTATTTGAGAGAGAGCATGAGTGAGTGTGGGAGGGGTAGAGTGAGAGGGAGAGAGAAACTCCAGCAGACTCCTCACTGAGCCTGGAGCCTGACGTTGGGCTCAATCCCAAGACCCCAAGATCATGACCTGAGCCCAAACCAAGAGCTGGACACTTAACCAACTGTGCCATCCAGAGGCCCTTGTTTTGCATTCTCAAATGCACTAGTATCAATAGTCTCCAACTATTTTTGAAACTTGTGGCCTATGATTTTAAAGACAATTTTTACTAAGTCCAAACCAAATAATTTGGGATTTATAATAATTTATCACCACCACCACCACACAGTTCAGTGAAAGTATATCAAGTGGCCTTATAATGAATCAGTAAGTCTTTTGTGAGTTTGATTACCACGAATCCTCTCGCCCAAAGCCTAATCACTTTTCAATTCCTGCTCATTCAATTCCTGAATGTGCAAAACTGACAGTGAGACTCTGAATCCCAGGTCCCCACAAGGTACAACCATTCTGTGGGTCCCACCAGGACTATCCTGTCATCCTCTATAACAGCAGTTAGAACACCTCCCATTTGACTTACACTGTACAATAATCCACATACCATGAACTAAAATGCAGATAAATGAAGACAGTATAAACTCCTGCTACTTTTCCCAAAATATGTTTAGAAATCAAATCCTATTTAGGCATTGATTTCATAGAATAAGTCAAAGTAGAATTTTACATTAACATGAAAGTCAGTCCAAAATAATCAAATATGGAAAACTCACTACTATAGTAACCTCTTGTGATAGATTATATTATCTGTTCAGAATATTCACTGGCTCTCCCTACAGGATTGAGTTCCCTGCCCCACTGACCCAGGTGTAGTCAAATAATCTGCTTTTGCAAATGGAATATAAAACAGGTAATGCAGGCAAGATATAGACCTTTGTTGGTATAAATCTTAAGGTTTGCTGTTGTTATTACAGCATAACTAGCCTAAAATGACTCATTAAAAAGCTGTACTTAATGTAGAGTTCTGCCATAACAAAAAGCCTAAAATTTGTGACTTTGGCTTCAGGGCCGGGTAGTAAAGAAACTTATTGGTGAAATGGCAACCCATGTAATTTGGTGGTGAACTGTGTGCTAAAACTGTTGTCTGTAATAACTGAAAAGATGAACAATGTAAGCATGAACTTGCGATGTTACGAGAAGAGGCTGGAACATCAGTAGTATGAGTTGGTTGTTACTGGCAGAATTTGACAAAATATTACAAGAAAAAAAATGAGCTCAAGAGTTTGCCAGTTTGCAAAATAAAAATGGAAGGCAAAAGAAAGTGTCCAGAATTTCCAGGACTTGCAGAGTTAAGAGATTTAACCACTTCTCATTTCCAACTGGTCAAGACAATATAGATAAGGCTTTTGCATGACAGAGGATGATTAAAACTCAACCTTAGGGAAAGACCAAATCATGAGTGTGGTAGTCAAACCTTTTGTTTAAACCTCTGAATAATTCCAGATGGCTCCCAGTAAATCTTTCAGGGTCACTGAATTGCTTAGTGACTAAAACAATGGCTGTCCCAAGAAAACCCCCAGAGCTCCACAATTAAGCCTAAAAAGAGGGGCATATTTAAAAAAGAACTGTGGGTAAAATTGCTGACACATGGAAGTGACAGAAAACAGATACATTAAAAGCTGATGACATTTTGAAAGTTACACTGAATGTCCATGACTTGAAAAAATCCTTTGGCGGGGCGCCTGGGTGGCTCAGTCATTAAGCGTCTGCCTTCGGCTCATGTCATGATCCCAGGGTCCTGGGATCGAGTCCCACATCGGGCTCCCTGCTCGGCAGGAAGCCTGCTTCTCACTCTCCCACTCCCCCTGCTTGTGTTCCTGCTCTCGCTATCTCTCTCTCTGTCAAATAAATAAATAAAATCTTTAAAAAAAAAAAAAAAAGAAAAAATCCTTGGGCATATCAACCTACTCAGGTAGGATGAAAAAGCTGGTTAGCCCTCAAGTGAGTTTATTCTCCAATATCATTTCCTATGTGACCAAGGAGGATACTGCAAAAGGAACTTGGGGGGCAGAGCCAAGAGCCAAGGAAAACAGGACTGAGGAGCTCCACCCACAGAGCAGAACAAGGACATAACCAAAAGACTTCCCAGTCCCAAGATCAGTGGTTCTCACCAAGTCTGCCAAGTGGAATTTCATAGCTATTACAGACCTGAGACTGCTGGGCTCCTCCCATGCTTCCCTGTTCTGAATAGGGGTGCTTACTGTGGTTATCCTGTCTCCATTGTTCCACTGTACGTTGGATATATGGATTCAGACAATTTGTCCTTTTAGTTCATAGATCTCCAGATCCAGAGGAGAAACATCCAGACCTGATGTTGAGGCCATCACCCCATCCAGGACTCTGATCTTGATGTTCCTACTAGATAACTAAATGGAGTTCTGGGGCTATCTTTTGGGGAGAGAATTTGTGTGGAGGGAGGGAGGGAAGTGAATATTTGTAAGAAAACAGTGGTAGACTCATTTGTTCAAAATATTCATTGCCCCTCCCCTGGCACCCCTCACTATGGGAGGCTTGTATTTCCCACCTCACTGACTTTAGGCTTGGCCACATGACGTGCTTTGGCCAGTGGATTGTGGGCAGAAGCAACACATGTCCTTTCTGGGCAGAAGCCAGAAGAACCATCTCCTGGTTCTGACATTACACTTTTCCCTGCCACATAATATATCCCAGACAGGATTCAGCCAGAATCCCAGAGCAAAGACGGTCTGGAGCAGTCACAGCCAGTCCACTACTGATATGTAACAGAGAAGAAATACACCTTACTATAAGCCGTTGAGATCTACAGGCCATTGTTACCACAGCATAACTAGATTAAGCTCTCTGATGTACCTCTGAATGTGTACATCAAGGCCAAAGAGGTTTAAACTCTATTTATTACTCTACTAGCTATTTGTGATACTTCCCTATTGGTGGGGGTTTCCCCCATTGGCTAGAAAATTAAACACAATGTCTATCATTAAGCTAGAATACATGAAACTATCATCTAGGTAGTACCAAGATAGTACCATCTTGGCATCCATGCTAGGAAACAATGCAGGCTTGCATCTACAGCCCTCCACTTGGTTCTCCAGCCTACTACAGCCAAACCTGAATCCACTTCTGGAGTCAGTCATTATTACCCCCTCTACCCCCATCACAACTGAAGCTGACAAGGACTAAGCAGTTACCATTTGCCAGAAGACTCCAGCAACAATATGAGGTAGTTGCATTACTGAGCGGTTAAGATCTTAGAGCCAGACAACCTGGATCTGAAACTAAAATGCCTTCCTTATGAGCTAGATAACCATGAACAAGTTACTTTCTCTCTCTGTGCCTTGGCTTTCTCAGTTGCCTCCCTGTGCCTCAGTTGCCATTCCTCAAAATGAGAATGTTTGAAAGATGAAAAGAGTTAGTTTAAGTAAATTGTGTAGAATAGTTTCTGATACATATTTAGTTCTCAGTACATTGGCTATTACTACTTTCATCATTATCATTAACATGATTACCATCCTCATTTTACAGTTGGCAAAACCAATGCATAGAGAAGTTAGGTGAGTCTTCCAGCCAGGAAGTAGTGAGTTAAGTCTATCTCCTCACTAATTCCAGGAAGGTAACATCCGAACAGGGACATAGCTTCAAATGGCCTCCCCACCTGTCCATACCCTCAGAACCTCTTTGCCCCTCTTCTCCATGAGCCTTCCCCAACCTCTCCAGCACAGGCTGATTTTCCTTTTACTAAACCTTGAAGGAAAGGCCTATCTGTGCCATTCCCATCTGTCATTAAATCATGCACATCCTCACTGTGACTGGGGCTGCATCCTCCGTACCAGAGTCCTCCCCTTTCTGTGATAGTGACACTCTTTCAAGGCCAGGGCTCTCTTACATTACTTGGTACTCACTGCAGTGCTCATGACAGAAATAAACCAAAGGATCTGAGTGAGTGCATACTGAGCAGCGAGGAGAGGGGCCCTGGAAAGGGGCAGGGAGGCCAGCATCCACCTTGATGGGCTCAACCTCCTGCAGAGCAGGGATTGGGGTCAGTTCCCTTTGGCGTTGAACAGAGGCTCCAGAGAAAAGGAGGCAAAGACATCCGTAGTTCAGTCATTTGAGGAAAAATGAAGAGAACCCCAACTCACCTGGGGCCTGGCTTTCAGGAATAAACTGGTTGTTCCCTTTTCTCCTGGGTATCTCTCTGGAGGAAGAGCAGAGTCCTGAGAGGGGAGAACTAAGAAGGTAAAAGGAGCCATAAGGAAGGCTAACCCCATGGCCTTTGCAGCTCCCAGACTTCCCATGCTGGAGATTCTGAAGAGTCAGTGTGTCACCTCCACAGTTCTGGGGACAGAGCTGGGTCAAAGGGAGCTGAGGGGCAACCTCTAGCTAACCCACACGAGAGAGAAATACACAACCCCCCCCCCCACTTCCTGTCCAAAGGCCACAGCAGGTTGCAGGTAACTGAAATACCACCATAGCCTGGCCACTCCACTGGACAGTTATTTACTGGGTATCCAATATATAGGTCCTACTAGGCCTTTTAAAAATATAAACATGGAGAAGGCTTTCAAGGAACTTTAAATCTAGCCTGCGGTATGACAGGTTAAGCATACCAAACAAGGCCCAGGGCAAGGCCGCAGAGGGATATTGACTTTAAGGGAAAGAAGTCACACCTTTCCCCTTATCCTTGGGAAGCCAGCTCAAAGGTCAGTTCTTCCTGAGAAGTTCCCAAGCATCATTAGGTCTCTGCAAGCATACTTTGCAAGTCCCTCTATGATAGGGTTTTGTATCTGTTTTTAAAGGCTGAAAACAAACAAAAAACTAACCCAACCATACCAGAGAAGTGGTCATAGCTAACAACAACAAAAGCATGGAAGTGGCAAGCAGCATGGTATAGTATAGGTCAGCACTTCTCACACTTCAATGTGTGTATAGATTCCTGAGGATCTTGTTAAACAGACTCTGATTCAGTGGATGTAGGATAGGGCCTGAGAGTCTGCATTTCTAAAGAGTTTCGAGATGATTCCTGTGCTGATGGTCTACAGAACACAAGGCATAAAGGAATACAGAAGGGGTGATAGTCCCAGAGATTTGGCCCAGTTCTGCCACTGGCCAGTCTTATGACCTTGAGCATTTGCACTGAAGAATGGAAAGTCAAAATGCCCATTAGTGAAGGACAGGAGACTCTAAATTTACAAAGGAATGGCTTAAAACCTCCTGGGTCACCTGGATTGCCTCCTCCCAAACACTAGTGAAAGGGTGGCTACAGGAGGTGCCCCCCATGTACACTGCTAATCTTGTATACAGTTGAGCTAGACGAGCTAGAGGAATCTTATTAGTTAATGAAGCAATAAAGGAAATGGTGGCAAGGCTCGAAATGGCCCCACTGCCCCCTGATCTCTGGCCAAGGACCACTCCCCCACAGGTTTGTTTATTGTTACCCTCTCCCTTCCACACCGGAAGAGATCCTTTCCCGCCCGCCCCGCTCTCCTCTGGCCTTTTCGGAAGTCTTCCGTGGCCATCCCCTCCACTTCTACCATGGCGTCTGGATACTGGGACTCCATGCTCCTGGGCCTGGCGAATTAGGAAATGCCACAGGGAAGACGGTTGCAGGCTCTGCCCCATCAGTGGATTCCCCGGCTTCTTCCTAGGGTCGTCCTCCTCCTCGGCCCACTACTAACTCCCCAGAAGGGCTGCCGGTCCTCTGCACCCTCGAGAGCCAAACCTGATGCTGTGGAGTCCATAGCTGGGGCTAAGGGGCGACGTCCTTTCACTAGGTCCAAATCACTGTCCTGCGGCCGCAGCCCTGTGGTCCTCCCTACAGTTCAGGGAGCAGGGAGGACGCTGGTAAGCTGGGTAACATCAGGCCTTCCCACTCCGCGCGGTGACGCCCAGCCGACCCGCAGGGCCCAGAGCAGGGCTATCAAACCCGGACTCCCGCCCGGGCGCGAAGCGCTGCCGCCCGGGGCGGAGCGGTTCCACCGCTTTCAGGCGCGCTCTCAGACGCCTCACGAGCCGGGCCTGGGCTCACTAGCTCCGCTCCGCCGCCCTTCCGGGACCAGGCTCCGGAACCCAGTTCTCACGCAGACCCACACGCACAGTGACGACTACACCACCAGGAGGTACGGCCGTAGCCACGCCTGCGACCTTGGCGGCCAGTGCTCCTCCAAGGCCCTAAGACAGCAGGGATTCGGGGGAGAGCCTCACAGGGACACGGACCGGCCCTGCAACTCTTTCCCCTAGCTCCAGGCCCCCGTGGCCCCTCGCAGGCGGGCAGGCGGAGGAGCACTCCCAACTCTGTCACGGACTGGGGCGCGGAGCCAGGGACGGGCCTGCGCGCCGGAAGTCGCCGAACCCACAAAGAGTAAAGGCCACCCCTGCCCCAGCCCCTGAGCCAAGACCCGTCCCGAGCCTGCGCAGACGGGCCGCCGCGCGGGGGTCAAAGCAGCGAGCGTCCGGGGCGGGTCCGCGGGGCGGGGCGGGGCGAGCGGCGCCTGCGCCCTGGGGGCCGGAGCGAGCGATCTTGGGCGTGCGGGCCGGGAGTGCCCCGGGAGCCGCACGGTGCGCCACCGACCCGGGTATAGGGTCTCCCGTGCTCTCACCACCGGCTGGGAACTGGGAGCAACTTCCGTCTTAGGCTCGATAGCCGGGTTTGGGGCTGTCCAACCAGAAACCATTGGAAATTTGTTAAAAAGAGAAGCCTGGGCCTTACCCTGAATCTGCCGAATAAGGATTTCCAGGAGACTCTCTGGGCGTATCTCTTACGGAATGCCCAGGAGATACAGATGGCTCATTGCTATTCTACAGGCCGTCCCGTGCCTCTCCGTCTTCCTCCCACTGCTCCAAGTTCTGAGTGCGGCGAAGGGTCAACGAAGAAACGACTATGGACTCCTTCCTGCTCCAGAAACGAGTATCATTTAGGAACTAAAAGAAATGTAGAAAAGGTTTGAATATTAAAACGATGGCTCTCAGGAGGCAGTCCTCAGCCAGAGAGGGGACTTGTGAGGACTGAGAATGGTTTATAGACCCTATCTAGGGGTTCAGGGACAACCCATTGAGTCAGGACAAAAAAACACCATTTTCCCCTCTAGCTTTTTCAATCTGTGTCACTTTTTGCCAGCACTCATGGTGGCACATGGCCAGGATGGCAGAGCAAGTGCCCAACAAGCAAGCCCTCTTCCTCTGGGGTTGGGGAGGGGGCTAGCAGGTGGGACGGAGGTGCTGCCAGGGAACCATGGCTGGCCCAGGAGTTTCTCTTCCCTTCTGTGCTCTGGAACCAAGAAGGTGAGGGATGGACACATAAGAAAAAAATGTCATCTCATTGGTGACTTAGCACAACTAGATAGAAATGGAACTGCTCAGATTATCTTGAGGGGTGCCATCTGTCCCTGATGTGCCTTTTGGCATTGGCCTCCTACAGTGTCTGAAACTTCAGTCCTCTTAAATTCAGGACAGAGTGTGATACAGAGGCCTATGTCACAATGCATATTTGTTACCCAGGAGAGTTCATGGGTTGCTTAACAAGGATGTCCCCTCTTCCAGAGTGCTCTCATGTGGTACTTGATGTCAATTACTGTTAGGGTAGCTCTGGTTCCGAGCAACCTGGTAAGTTTGTGCATTACCCCAACATTCCCTTTTGCTGCTCCTTTGTAGTCAAACATTTCTCCCATTCCAACCTAGTGTGACCACGGATCTATCCCTAGAGTTTAGCCTTTTCCGGAATGTCATATACAGGATTATACAGTATGTAACCTTTTGGGAGTGGCTTTTATCACTCAGCATAAAGCCCTTGAGATCCATCTGTGTTGTCATGGGGATCAATAGTTCATTCCTTTGTACTCTTGACTCCAGCTGTCCTGTAAGGAAGATTGTCCTAAGGAGCTATTCAGCACATCCATTTACATCCTATAGCTGCAGAGAAATGTACTCTTTAAACATGTGCCTGGCTAAAATTCTACTACCATGGAAGATGGACAGAAAAAACGGGAAACAGATTGTAGGAACAATATTGATAAACTAGTTTACCCAGAGGAAGAGCAGGTAGCAAGAGCATCTCAAAGTCAAATTAGCCTGAGGGAGATGGCTCACCCTATTTTAAGCTAATTCTAAAAAACAAAAATGTGAAGGTGCTTTTGTAAGGCAGAACTGAAGCACAGATTGTTTTCTATAGGTCCCCTGTGTGCTCAGGCATCCATCATCACACAACCTCCAACTTTCCTGGGTTGGAAGCCCCATAGTAAAAACAGAAACTGTTCACAATTAGGGCTCAGGAATATGCAGTCATTGAGGGTGGACTAAAGATGCCCCAATGGTGGCCATTTTGAAAGAAGGTATTCCAAAAACAAAAACAGAAGTAGAAAGCCATTCCAATCTGGAATCAGATCTGGGTATTAAAAGCAGCAGTGTTTTTCAGGTATAGTGTGAAATTGTGCCTGAATATTTCTCTCCCACCCCATCACCCAGCTTCTGATCATACGCAATTTCCACTCTCAGTATAAGGCTAAATAAATTAAAAACAACACCACCACACAGGAGGGAAGAGCAAGAAAAATATGACTTCAAGTCCTAATCCTGGAAGGTCCAAACCCTTACTACAGTACAAAACCGTCCCCAATCCGGCCCCAAATTATGGTTGTCAGCCCTTAAATACCCCCTGACCATTCATCTTGCTACAAATTTTTTGCACTTTTATCCCCTAGTCTGTATCTTTGCAGGTGCTATTCTCTCTGCATAGATTGCACTTTGTTGTTGTTGTTTTTTAAGATTTTATTTATTTATTTGGGGGCGGCAGAGGGAGAGAGAATCCCAGGCAGAGTCCACCCTGAGCATGGAGCCCAACTTGGGCTTCAATCTCAGGACCCTGAGATCATGACCTGAGCCCAAATCAAGAGTCCGAATCTTAACCAACTGAGCCACCCAGGCGCCCCTTCTTTCTTCTTAATATTCTTTTTCAAGTGGACCACTTACAGGACTGTAACTGTCATAGGCCTTTTCTAACTTTCTCAGCCATAGTTAACTGCTTCCCGGTTGTACTCAGCTAGTGTCTCGGACGTGACATATAGAACATACTGCATTGTGTTGTAATACTTTTACATTCTGGTTTTTCCTTTGGACCGTGGTTCGTTTGGGGCAGTAACTGTGTCTTATTTATATCTAACAATGCCTTGCCTATGGTAGGCATTATAGGTTTTTTGAGTGTAAGTGTAGACTTGTTCCTGAAGTCTATTTTATCATATTCTTGTAATCTCCAGTCTTCTCTGAAGCTCTAGCTCAGTGGTTCTTAGCTCTAGCAGCACATTAGAATCACCTGAAGATCTTTGTAACCTCTCTCCTCAGTGGACCCCACGTATCAATGTGTCCAAAGCTTTTCAGGTGATTCCGACATGCAGCCAAGGATGAGAATGCCTACGATGTCTCCAACTAGGGAGGGCCCTTCCCGCAATACCAAGGCAGACGGACTGGTGTGCCCTCAAACTGTCGGTATCCTGGGCTTTCCTCTTCCGGCGCAAAAACGTGCACGTACCCTGCCTCAGGCCCAGCCTCGTCCTAGAACCGAATTCTGCGTTTCTCCGGCCCAAATTTCAGAATCAATTCCCTGAAAGTGGACAAGCTGAAGCAGAAAAAAAGCCTCTTCAAAGTGCCAGGAGACTCGTCGTTCTCGGTCTTTCGGGCGGTGAAAACCAAGGGTAGGGACCGGCCCCAAAGATCAGACACATTTCCTTCGGACGGCCCTTCCATCGGAGGACTGGACCGTGACATCACACGTAGGCCGTACTTCCAGGGTCCGATAAGTCTCCCATACATCCACCAACGTTCCCTCACTCGGCTACAGCAACTGGAACGCTGTGACCGACCCGCTTTGGAGCCGTCAGCCCCTTTCCGAGAAGCGTGCGCGTGCGCAGAATTTCATACGTCATATTGGAGCGCGCCGACCGCTGAGACTTCTGGGGAATGGAGTCTGTGAAAAGGCCGAACATTATTGGGAGCGCAGACGTCAGAGCCTTCGCGCAGGCGCATTACTTTCCCGACCTGACGAGGCGCCGTCTTCCTGGGTCCCGAGCACTCTGTGCCGGAGGTGAGGGCTGGGTGTTTGACTTCGAGATGCGGAGTGAGCGCAGCGGCCGAGAGAAGGGGACACTGAGAACTTGGGGGAGGTGCTGTGGGAGTAGAACGGGGTGACGCGGGCGGTGCCAGCCTGCAGAGAGAGACTGCAGAGAGAGAGTGTTAAGTGTGTGTGTTATGTGTGTGTGTACACGTCCCAGCTCGGAGAGGTGCGGACGGAAAGTTGCCCCTCGCCTCCGATGTGTGCGTGTATTCGTGGACTCTGGGCACTGTCAGGAGTGATCTTTCAGCATACACACACTATATTGCCAGTTCCCAACTTTCAGGTTGGAAGTTTGGAGCCTTCCTCCGCTCCTCTCGTCCTCCTTCCCATAATGGGTGTTTAATAAATATGGGTGGAATTGACATTAAATCTGTGGGGGTACCCACTCCGCCCCCTCCCTCTTTCCCAGGAAACGTCTCAGATTGTCTCGGTTAGCTCCCTGTCTTGGGCCTCCATACGAGGCCCTCATTTAAGGATTGATACATCATTTTTTAGACTACATCATTGAACTTTTTTTATTATTATTATTTTAACCATGGCATTTTAACTTTTAAGCTGGTTGGAATCCATTGTTGAAACCGATGGTTATTATTTAGCTTACTGACAAGTTTAATTCTAGAAGTAACTACATCTCTAAGATGTCTATGATTTAAAAAAGGATATTTGTGAATTGAGTCTGAGATGCAGTCCTTAAAGCTCTTGGCTTGACATATATGGTTATCCATTAAACCAATAATTAAAGCTACCTTAATGCCTAATGTGTCTGTTTCGGCTGTCAACATCATGCACAATCTTTTCTTAGTTCAGAGGAATGAATGGTAAAACGAATACTTTAATATCATTCTTTAGTTGCTAGGGCCCTTGATGAGGTGGGACCTTTCATGGAAGAGGTAGGATTTGAGGTGAAAAAAGGAAAGACAGGAAAGAAGTAGCAGAGCATTAGGCAGATTTGGGAGGGAGCTGATTTTAACTGGAGTGAAGTGTCAAGGAGTAGTGGGAGACAAGGGTGGAGAAAACTACACTGGCATGAGGACACAGAGGATCAGGACAAAACACAGGAGGCAGAGTGGATTGTATAGTTCTGATCTGAAGACTGACAGGAATAAAACTATTTGGGGACAGTAATTCTAAAGGTCATGTCCAGGACTAGAGAGAGGAAGGGACTAGTGGCAGGGAGCCAGTTAGGAATGCATAGTAATCCTGATGCAAGTTGTTACAGACCTGAATTAATGGTGTCAGTGGTAGGAAAGGATAAAAATGAATGCAGAAGAAGGGTCAGAAGGACCTGGTAACTAACTAGATTTGGGAGGAAAGAGAGCAAGGTAAAAGTTTGAATTGGGGGCATCTGGGAAAATAATAGAACATCGGACAAAAATGTCAAACTAGGGAGAGGGGTTAATTGGGGAGTTGCATAGGAGAAGATGTTTTCAGGTGCTGGCAGAATGCCTAAATCAAAATTTGCAGTCACTTGGAAATGCAAGCTGAGTTTGGAAGAGATATTGGGACTAGAATGGGAACCATCTCTGTAGAGGAGAAAAATGGAGGGCCAGGTGGATGGACTTTCTGAGGGATAGCAAGAACATTGTACAAAGACTGAGTGTTGGACAGCAGCCAAGTTTCCAGGGCAAGACTGGGGAAAAGAAGCAGGAACTTGAAGAAGCAGGAACTTGTCAGAACAATCAAAAGCAGCAGAGAAAGATAAGGAGAAAAGGATTATTATAATTAGAGATGCATTGGTAATTTTCGAGCGTACAGTTTCAGATGGTTAGGGGTGGCAAGAATAACATTCTTTGAATAACATTCTTTGAATAACATTCAAAAAGAGGAGATGGAATTGATAGGTGTGTGTCACCAAGAAGTTTGATCATGATAGGAAAACCCAAATGAGAACTCTTTTGCTAGAGAGAGGCCATGGGATTCAGTGAAGAAAGTTTCAGATAGACGAGGGTTGTATCTGTTTGAGGATGTGGGAAAAGAAGCTACTGGTGAGGTGGGAGATGGTGGAGAAAGAAAGACTGGGTAATGCAGGGAACAGATTCTGAGAGGCAACAGTAGTGGAAAAGGAGATAGGACACAGAGGACAATCAGGTAAAGACCCAGAAATGGAGACATTCTGTTTCATTGTCCTCACACCCCATGCTACTATGTACATAGCAGGTACTTGGACATATTTGTTGAATAGCAGGATGAATGAGTGGATGAATGGGTTGGTGTTGGGCAGTAGAAAGGAAAGCAATTTTCATTTATTGAACAGACTGTAAGATAAATGCTTTACATTAAGTGTTCATTTACTATTAATAACTCTCTGTGAATTAAACAACTGGAGGTCAACTTTTAGCTTAAGTAATCTGCCCAAGCCTTCCCAGTTAATAATTAAATGCCTGTGGAATGCTTTTACCACACAGACTGTCTCCTTTGGAACTCACTCTTGTGAGTGTTCTTCTGAAATTGAATGGTAGCCATGGAGGTTTGGAATAGCTACGGAGCAAGGATGGAACAGTAAAAGCTTTCCAGGCAAGGGCTCATTTGAAGATCTAGAATAAGAATTTGAAGAGTTTTTTTCTCCAGAAATACTCTGAGAACCAGTAATAGGACAAGAGAAAACAGAAATGACTCCATGTGAATTTGGTGGATTTGGGGAGCCTTGAGTATCACTGAGCCTACTGAAGCGACTGCCAGGGGAGGGAAGTCAGCCTGGCAGGGAGCCCACGGATAATGAGCACCTTGGGAATATCGACTGCTTACTTAATGGCTGGGGAGCTTTTATGCTCACCACCATTTGTAATGTGTTCCATGCTCACTTCATGAAGTCATAATCCAATAAATAAAACTTTGAAAATTGTCTTTAAGGATTTAAACATTGAGCAGTTTCAACTACAATTTCAGATGTAGTTCCACTGATTTGTTCGAAAAGCTCAAATGCTTTAGGCAACATATTCAAATACTTTGATTCCAAAGTTATTACTACACTTACACTTAAACCTACTCTAAAACAGCAACAACATGTTGTAATTAATATTTTCATTATTTCTACCTTCCTAAGGTTATAACATGACTTTTAGCTAATGCTAACACTTAGCACGTTATTCTGTATGCTTTATATGTATTCTACTTAAGCATCACAATAACTATGAGATAGGTACTTTCATTATTCTAATTTTACAGATGGGTAAACTGAAACAGAGGTTGAGAAACTTGCCTAAGGTCATACAGGTAGTAAGAGGCAGAGGTGGAATTTTATCTCAGGCAGTCTCTCCTGTATCTCTAAATACTAATTTACGCTCCTGTATCTCTAAATACTAATTTGGACTTCTTATTAGGGCCCAAGAGTAATGTTTTAAGACCCTCCTGGGAATGGAGGAATCTTGACAAGCAAGGGAAAGAATAGTGTCTTAACTCAGCTGGCAGGCTGCTGCTGATGTCTTATTTGTTTCCATTTGTGTATATATCACTCTGCCTCCTCCTAACAAGATTCAAATCCCAATCTCTCCTCGGGTCAAAATTCTTTCTTTATAGTTATACTAAACATGTTTTTCCAATAAGTTTTTTTTAAGTTTTTACCTTTTGCATAGGTTTTAAACATTTTTGCAAACTGGTGTTCACCCTCAAGGTAATATTCTTTTAAAGTTTTGCTTGGCCAGTGTTCAATAACCCATTGTCTAGTAAATATATATTGATCTGGTCTTTTGGTGTTTTTGAAAACTTAACTGTATTTTATTAGTATCTTGTAATTAATAAGATGAGATAGTGGGCTCATCTCCTAAGGGAGGAAGAATTAAGTCTGCATGGTTACTTTGCCTCTTTAGAAGAGCTCATGCTCTTTCTTCCTCTCCCCAGTACTGATTAGACTGTTTGGGGTTTGTAGTTCCTAATTCTGGGATTACTTGGTTTATCCCCATTCCCTAGATTTCTTTTTTCATGCTTATGTGAATGGACACAAGTATATAACCTAAAGATACATCTATACTTTGTGAATAGTCATACAATTAATAGGAAAAAAAACAAAGTACTTATTTATATTACTAAAGGTATAAACATTGCCCTCTTTGTATTACAACCATTTTTAAAATAAATTAATTTTTCCATTTTGAGTATGGAACTCATGGTCTTTCAAAATTCAAACTATTTCATTCAACAATAATAATTTTTATAACTTGGCCAGTGGAAGCCAGAGTCACCTGATTTTTCCTATCCAAAAAATGTGGGAACAGCTCAAACTCTAAATATTCCAAACTGTACTCATTAGCTTTCCCTCTAAACCTTCTTCTTCTCATGAATGGTACCATTGTGCACACCGTTGTTCAGATCAGTGACCTGGAAGTCACCCTTACTTCTCCCATCACCCTCAGCCTCCACTTGCAGTCAGTCTGTTGTCTGTTCTTCTTCTTCTTCTTTTTTTATTTATTTTTATTTTTATTTTTTTAAAGATTTTATTTATTTATTTGACAGAGAGAGACACAGCGAGAGAGGGAACACAAGCAGGGGGAGTGGGAGAGGGAGAAGCAGGCTCCCCGCAGAGCAAGGAGCCCGATGCGGGACTCGATCCCAGGACCCTGGGATCATGACCTGAGCCGAAGGCAGTCGCTCAACCGACTGAGCCACCCAGGCGCCCCCCTTTTTTTTTTTTTAAGATTTTTTTATTTATTTGTCAGAGAGAGAGCACAAGCAGGGGGAGCTGCAGGCAGAGGAAGAAGCAGCCTCCCCGATGAGCAAGGAGCCTGATGTGGGACTCAATCTCAGGACCCTGGGATCATGATCTGAGCCCAAGGCAGATGCTTAACCCACTGAGCCACCCAGACGTCCCTGTTCTTCATGTCTTGACAGTAGTTCCCCTTCTGTCCATTTCTGCTGCCACTACTTTTGCAGTTTTCATCATTTTTCCTTATTTAATTATGAGATTCCTCACTGGTCTCCTCATCTCCATTCTTGCCCTCCTCTAGTCCCATTCTGCTATAGCCACCCAGAATGGCATGGCTGCCTTTGTCGGAGGTCCACAAGATCACCCCACATTCAGGGACTTGCTGGAAGGATGTGGAGCTCAGCCTATAGTTGCACTCATGGCTAAGATTATGACCGTGATCTTGCAAGGATGTACAGCTAGGTCATATGGGGAAGAGACAGAGTCTGGAGAAACCCATATGCAGGCTTTCTTGTGCTCTCTCCCCACCATGAGGGGTCACACCATACACATCCTCTCCAGCAATGAAAATGCAACAACATGTGTGTGATGTTCCAGCTCACAAAAGCTCATTAGAGACTCAGAGCCCAAGTTTTTTTTATTGAGGGCTGGTTAGGTAGGCACCCTCTGCCTAACACATTCCAAAATTCTAGACCCTCTAGCAGGAAAGCAAGTGTTCAGCATAAACCACATTGTTTGCTCAAATAGTTTAGGCATAATGGACCACCCTTCTTTCTTAGGGAACCCTTCCAAAATCAAAGTTCCCAGACCCCAGCCAAGGACCAACCTGGCAAGTAGAACTTTCTAAGAATAGCTGTCTTGGATCTGCTGTAACTTTCCTGTATACCCCCATTCCTTCCTGTTATTTTTCCTGTACACCAAAGTAAATACATACTTACAAAAACAAAAATCAGGATATAAAGAATTATAAGAAATAGAATAAAACCACCTGTAATGCCACCACTCAAATTCCACTTACATTTTAGTATATATTCTTTTGGTCTTTTTTCTGTACATATATGCATACACAAATAAGTAATTTTAAGTACGCATTCTTCACTTAATATTTGTGAATTTGTTTAAAAAAAATTTTTTTAACAAAGCATCACAAACAAAGTTGAACTCTTCTAGATATTATTTACCTGTTTTTAAGTTGTTTTTTTTAAAGATGTATTTATTTGAGAAAGAGAGAAAGAGCGTGAGCTTCGTAGGGAGGAGCAGAGGGAGAGGGAGAGAGAATCTCAAGCAGACTCCCCATTGAGTGTGGAGCCTGATGCAGGGCTCAACCTCATGACCCTGAGATCATGGCTCTAAGATCATGACCTGAGCCAAAATCAAGAGTCAGAGGCTTAATTGACTGAGCCATCCTGGTGCCTTGTTTTTAAGTTTTATATAGATATTACACAGTAATTCTAAAACTTTCTTATTTTTTGCTCAGTAATTTTTGTGATTTATTATTAACACAAGACTACTTCATTCATCTTAATGTATAATATTCCAATACACATAAGTTCACACACATAAAATAACAATTTATCCTTCTGATGAATATTTAAGTTGTTTGCAGTTTATCACTAGTGATCTTTTCCTCAGTGATTCGTAATGCCAGCTCAGTTGTATATCAAGTTTCCCTACATGTTTGGATATGTTGGGGGATTTTTTATTCTAGTCTATTGGTCTGTTATCTGTGTGGCTATTTTTTCATGAAAATAAAAATCACATTATAGCATAGAGGTTAAAAACTGATTGACAGACCTGGGTTCAAATTCTACCTCAGCTTCTTTTAACCTTAACTTTCCTAATCTGTAAAATAGTACCATCCTGGGATGGAGCCCTGCATCGGGCTCCCTGCTCATCAGGGAGTCTGCTTCTCTCTATTGTTCTGCCTCTCCCCCAGCTTGTGCTCTCTCTCTCTCGCTCTCTCCCTCAAATAAATAAAATAAAATCTTTAAAAATCAATTAATTAATTAAATAGTACCTACCTTATTGATTTGTGAATATGGAATTAAATTATCCTGAGAAAGAGTGCTTAGTTGGGACACCTGGTTGGCTTAGTCAGTTAAGCGTCTGACTGTTGATTTCAGCTCAGGTCATGATCTCAGAGTCACGGGATCAAGCTCCATGTCAGGCTCCCTGCTCATCAGGGAGTCCACTTGTCCTTCTCCCCTCTGCTCCTCCCCCTGCTTGTGTGCTTTCTCTGTCTCAAATAAATAAAATCTTAAAAAAAAAAAATAAGAGTGCTTAGCACAGTGCCTAGTAAGTAGCAAATACTCAATAAATGCTAGTTGTTATTAATATGATATTAAATGGTATTACAGTGTATGGATGGGCTAGATTGCAAATTATTTAATCATATCTCCTGTTTTAGAAACATAGGATATTTCAAATTTTTCCTGTACTGTAAGGATTAAACGAGATAATACATGTAAAGTGCTTAAAAAGTTACCACATGTAGTACTCAGTAAAGGTTAGTGTTAATGATGACTAAGGATATTTTCACTTATTTCTTTAGGACAAACTCCTAGGAAAGATTTGCTGAGCCAAAGAGTATGTGTATTCCAAGGCCCTTTATACAAATTGCAATGATCTTTCTAAAACACAAATCTGATGATAATACTTCCATGTTTAAATTCTTCAGTGATCTCCTTGCCTGTGGTCCCTCTTCCATGTATGGGACCATACAAAGCTGTCCTTGATCTAGCTTGTCTCTGTCTACTTCACCACAGCACTGCTCACAGCCTAGACCTCTGCCATTCTAAACTAGTTACAGTTGTTAATCTTGTCCATGTAAAGACCCGCCTCCTCGTTTTTGAAAAACTTGGTGTTTTTCCTGCCTAGAATGTTCCACCTCCTCTCCCAAATCAAAACTTACCTTATATCCCATTTCTGCCAAGGAATCTACAGCCTTCTATGTGGGTGAGGCAAGCCTCTGATGGGCTTTCATAGTTTGTTGTGGGTATGTCTTTATAGTATGGATCCATCCTGTAGTGACACATTTGGGTTACTTGTTTGTCCTATGTTCTAAGCTATAAGCTTTTGGGGGACAAGGATAGTGTCCTAAAGTTTTTGTGTTTGGTATAAATAGTTGGTGCTGAATAGATGTTGGTTGGATAGAAGGATGCGTGAATAGCAAGGATCAGTACCCATATCCCCTTGACTGCAGGAGAGTAATCAGTGAGCCACCTCTTTGCCTCATCCTTCCTTGGGACCACACTTCCCGTCCCACTCATGACTCCTGGAAGTGCTTGACTTAACTGTGTTTAATTAGACTCTTGACTGTGGGAAACTGAGACCTACTCAGCTAACTCAAGTAAAGGGAGTTTAGTGATAGGATTCACGCAAAGCCTAAGAAGGTTAGAGTGTTACAGCAATCCAAGAATAAATAAGGCTGATCTAAATGCAAATTGGAGCCCAGGGGTGTACTGCATGAATTGAGGGACTTCAAAGCCAGTAAAAAACTCTTAGGTCTTTGCTCCAGTGCTTCACCACTAATGTGACTAGGCTCTTCTTCCTCCCAGCCTAAGTCTAGTCTTATCGGGTCATGCCTTCCACAGACTCATGGGTTCTGCTTCCTGGTAACTTTGGCTCCCCTGATCCTCATAGCTACTTCCATCCCTCATGATACTCTTTTCAGCTCATCGCCCACCTGTTGTCCTGACATTTCTTAGTTTATATTCACCTTTTCAAGCTAGATCACATCTCAGTCTACTACCTGAGGCCTACGTCAGTGTGGCTCCAGGAGTGAGACACAGCATCACGTGGAACAAAACATGGCTGCCCAATGGCTACTCCTTTAGCACAGGGTTGCAAATGGGGTATTTTTCCCTTAAAGAGGCTGTGGGTGGGACGCCTGGGTGGCTCAGTCGGTTAAGCGTCTGCCTTCAGCTCAGGTCATGATCCAGGGTCCTGGGATTGAGTCCCACATCAGGCACCTTGCTCAACAGGGAGCCTGCTTCTCCCTTTGCCTGCCACTCCTTCTGCTTGTACTCTCTCGCGCTCTCCGTCTAGCAAACAAATAAATAAAAATCTTTAAAAAAAAAAAAAAAAGAGGCTATGGGTATTTACTTGACATGTCTTTCCATATAGTCATTTATAAGATTTCTTAGACATTTTATCTGGTAACATCAGGGCAATATTGAATGTGAACTTATAAATATAGTATAAGCTTCATATGTTCTTGATTCCCAGGAACAGAACTCTTCCTCTGGGATCATGGTCAAACCAGCACCCCCTTGTGTCCTGACCAACAATATCCATGGCCTTTTTTTTTTTTTAAGATTTTATTTATTTATTTGACAGAGAGAGACACAGTGAGAGAAGGAACACAAGCAAGGGGAGTGAGAGTGGGAGAAGCTGGCTTCCCGCGGAGCAGGGAGCCCGATGCAGGGCTCAATCCCAGGACCCTGGGATCATGACCTGAGCTGAAGGCAGACGCTTAACGACTGAGCCACCCAGGTGCCCCTATCCATGGCCTTTCATTCCAATTCTGGGTTGGGGTGGTGTTGCTGCTGGCCTTGCTTTGCCTTGCCTTCCCTTTTTGTAGGGTATTAAGAAAAAGAATGAGTATATAACTCACTGGTATTTGGAGATTTCTTGCTTTATGGGTCAGAAAACTACAAACCTTCTAAGACTGGTCTTTCTCATACTGTCTTTCCCATCCCACACCTCTTCTTCATTAGGACTCTGCCCTTTTCTACAAGGAGAGCACACAGGAGGAATGGCTGCTGTGTCTCCGACTGCCAGGTGCCAGGTGAGGTGGACTTTGTCTGAAATACTCTGTGAGTCTCCAGATTGCAACCACTTTTCTCTCTCTATCCAGAAGCTTCTTCAGTCAAACTTAGCCAGGTGAATGAAGGGCTCCGGAGGGAATGCATCTTTCCCATTTGATTTGTCGTATCCATCAGTGACCTTTTCTTGCCTTGAGCATGTGCGCATTAGCTTGTCACCAGGCACATGGCCACTGTGGCCTTGGCTCTGAGAGCTTTTGCCTAAAAAAATGATGGTATAGGTTGGCTTGGATGGTTTGGGCAACAGTTCTAGTCCTGACTTCCCTTCAGTGCATCCCTCTGAGAGCAGATCCCACAAAAGTGCATCCCTCTGAGAGTGGACCCCAAGTATTCCAGGAAGTGTTGGATTAGGCTGGGGAATATGACACTTGCTGAAGAGCCCCTCAGTGAGGTGGTGAGAGTCCCAAAGAGAGATGAGTGTGAGTAGAGACATGGGGCTTGCCCCATTCCTGCCTACGGACTTGGAGTCTTGATTTTATGCTCTGGCTTATAACTTCAGCAAGCACACTGGAGACTCATCTGGGGTTTTAGGATTGGGGGTAAAGATGCAGTCTTACACAATCACAAAGCATTAGCATGAAATGAGGGGATCTGAAGGACAACCTAATCAACACCATCATTTTAAGGATTTGTAAAGAAACCCAGATAATGAGTGGAATTCAAATAAGGTTGTAGATTATAGTATAATATCAATGATATTTTCTTGACTTTCATTACTATACTGTGATCATATAAGAGAATAGCCTTGTTTTTATGAAATATGCATAAAATCTGAGTAAAGAGGCATCATGTTTGCAAGTCGCTCTCAAGAAGTTCAGGAAAAAGATAGGATAATGTGTATATACTGAGAGAGACAAAAAGATAAAGCAAGTGTGGAAAATGTTAACATTTGGGGAAGCTGGGTGAAGGGTGTACATAGGCTTTCTCTGTTCTGTTCTTGCAAATTATCTGTAAGTATGAAAAAAGAGCCCCTGACATTCACAGGCTCAGCTGTGAATATAAGGATTATGACCAAGAACTTCATGCCTCAGGGAATTATGCCACTTACCCCAAGTGCTTCAAAGCCCTACTTTATCAGAACCATTTCGCTTCCCCTCCTTCCACAACCCCAGGGCTATCACCTTTATGACTGTTTTGTCTGGTCCATATAAAAAGAAGGGTTATGAGTAAGGGACAATGTGATTGTGTTTCCAGGAATCAGTGACATTCGAGGATGTGGCCGTGATTTTCACAGATGAAGAGTGGAGGCATCTAGTCCCTATTCAGAGGGACCTCTACAAGGAGGTGATGCTGGAAAACTATAAGAGCATTGTCTCATTGGGTAAGGAGAACTTCCTGTAAGAAGTTAGACTCTGTACTGTGTTAATGGGGGGTTGAGGGGCCAATAAATGATACTCTTCTCCCACCTGAGTTCTGAAGCACCAAGAGACAAGATGGAAGAGTAGAAGGATATGGCTTAGGTAAGCTTCTTAATGCTGAACCCCAGCATTGGACAGACTTGCTTCCTGAGCCATAGGCAGGTTGTACAACCCCAGCCTCCCTTGCTCAGCATCCTGTCCCTACAGTACAGAGGACCCACTCTCCAAAGGGGGAAAGGAGCAAACAGAAGAAGCTGAGTTACATATGCCCAGTTTCTCCCCCAGCTCATCAGTCAGGTAACTTACTCAGCTCCATCCAGAGGACTAAGGGCACCATCTTGTTGAGAGAAAATTTCTCCTCAGAGAAGCAGAAGAGGGGAGGGAGAAGTGTTTCCCTTTAAAAAGAGGGCAGTAGGTGTAGAAATACAAGGCTGTGCCTCAGAGTAGGTCACTAGAAATGAGTTTGATTTTGAATATTTATCTTAAGTGCAGTCAGAGAGAGGCCTGCAGAAGGCACTTTGCTGTTAAAAAGACTTGTGTGACAAAAGGAAAATTAAGAATGACTGCTGATGGAGGCGCCTGGCCGGCTCAGTCTGTAGAGCATGCAACTCATGATCTCGGCGTCGTGAGTTTAAGCCCCACACTGGGTGTAGAGCTTACTTTAAAAAAAAGAAAAGAAAAGAAAAAGAATGCTGGTGTGAGATATTCATGAGAAGTAAAGGTTGGGCTCCTATACATAATGACAACCTCCTAGGGGCTTCCAGAATAAGAGACTGAGTGTGCAGATTCAGAAACAGGTGTAAAATAAGCAGCAGGTGGCAGTCAAAGGAGTCACACTGCAGATTTTCTATGAGGCAGGTCAAGAATTTAAATAGGCCAAATAGGAAAAACAGGATGGAATGTTCAGGGAACATTAAGGGAGACTGCTGAGACTTTGTCACAGACTTTGGTGGGATGAAATATTGGGGAGAATAGAGTTCCTAAGATCAGAAACAGGAAGCCACAGGGAGGCAATGGATGTGGCCAATTTGTCAGCAGATGATCAGCATTTAAGCAGATAGGTGATCCCTGGGCCCAGTAAGAAAGTGTTCTCTTTCCCAAGTTGGGGTCCCCAATGGAAGGTGAAGTTTAGACTTCAAGACTACTTCTAGGATGGATTCTATTTCTTTAAATAACCAAAAATGGATAGATTCACTTGTAGAAATTTGTCCCAAGCAAATAATAAGATCAGCAGCCCCGGGTATACAAAAATGTTCATCACATCATTGTTTGTCAATAGCAAAACAGTAAAAACAGTCTGAATGTCTGTCCGCAGGAGATTAAATAAATTAGATTATTCCATACAATTAACATCATGTAGCCATTAAAGTGGTGACGTAGATCTGTGCTAATTAAAATAAAATAATATTTTAAGTTTATTATGTGAAAAAAAATCAAGTTTACAAGTCAGCATTATTTTATAACCCAGTTTTTAACAGAATGTATCTATAGGTATCGTTCAGTTTCAAAATGAATAGAAAGAAAAAATGAATACGAAGTACAAAAGGTGATTTTGCTTTTTATTTCTACTTACCTCTAATTTTCCTACAACAAACATGACCCACTTGTGTAAATAAAAGCTTAATACCAAAGGGTAAACCAACCAACAAAATCACACGTTTTTTACTCAAGATGATCTGTCTTCATTCTTATCTTCCCTGAGCCAAGGGCTCTTCCCCACCATCCTACCAGTGCTAAAGCTATGACATCCCATTCACTTCAACAGGGAAAATAAACACATCAATTCAAATGGACTTTATCAACTTTTTTACCAAGTGCTACTTGTTCCTTTTTAGAACCTCAGTCTTGACCTCCATTCTGAGCTTCCCTCATCCTTTTGCATTACTTTGTACTCTGCGTTCCTGGCTTGCGCCCTCTGCCTTTCCATTTTCTCTCAGAAGGACTTGGAGGTTGGGTTTAAGCTTTGGAATAGTTGTGTATTTTCATCACATACCTGGCTTGTTTCTTTATCCCTGAGCAGGACTTCCAGTTCCTCGACCTGATGTCATTTTTCAGTTGAAGAGAGGGGATGAGCCTTGGATAGTTGATCTTCATGGATCTGAGGAGAGAGAATGTCCAGAGAATGTCTCTCTAGGTAACTGTGTATGAACAGGGCAGGGCAGGGCAGAGTTTTGTTTTGTGGTTGTTATTTGGGTGTGTGGGAAGGAGGTTTGGGTACCATGTTTTTCTCACATTCACATCTTCTGCTTTCGTGTTTATTCTGTCACCCACCGCTTTCATTTTTTTCTCCACACCTGAAAGTGTTACTCATCTTTATCCACCAAATGTTATTATTCTGTCAGATCTGTCACGTTGCCCATTCACACTTTGATATTCCTGTTGCCCACTGTCCCCCCCACTTACCATATTCTCCTAATTATCCTGGCCACGCTCCCAGTGGAAAGTCTTCTCTCTTCTGAGCTGTCCACTGTCAGTTCTGTTCCCTTTCCAAGTCTCAGTCTTTTCCCAGTGCGAACAACTGTCTGTGGGAGCAGGCAGGGTGGTTACCATACACTACTGTTCCAATTTATTGTAGCATCTCTTCTTTCTGCTGTAGTAGTTCCTACCCCAGGAAAGAAACTACAACTGTATTTTCTGTCCGTTCCAGACTGGGAGACTAAGCTTGAGATTCACGGTGCTTCAGAAGAAGAAGAATCAGAAGGAACAGTGAGGGGAAAGCTTGGAGAAGTTCCTGTGTGTCCTAAATTTGAAGTTCATGCACTGGAGGGTGAGTCGGAAGCAGGAAAGGAGAGCCCTGCCGTCCAGACCTGCAAGAAGTCCCTTTCCCAGAAGGAAAGCTTGCAGCAAGGGTCTACCCCTCTCAAGAAAATTCTCACTAAAGAGAGAGACCAGGAATGCAGCCACTGTGGGAAGACCTTTTTTGACCACTCATCCCTTATCCGCCACCAGAGGACTCACACTGGAGAGAAGCCCTATGACTGTCACGAGTGTGGGAAGGCCTTCAGTCACAGGAGCAGTCTCAGTAGACATCTGATGTCTCACACTGGGGAGAGCCCCTACGAATGCAACGCGTGTGGGAAGGCCTTTTTTGACCGTTCGTCCCTAACTGTCCATCAGCGAATTCATACTGGAGAGAAGCCCTTTAAATGCAGCGAGTGTGGGAAAGCCTTCTTTGACCGTTCATCCCTAACCCGACACCAGAGAATCCATACCGGAGAAAGCCCTTATGAATGTAATCAGTGTGGGAAAGCCTTTAGCCAGAAAAGTATTCTTACTCGACATCAGCTCATCCACACTGGCAGGAAGCCTTATGAATGTAATGAGTGTGGGAAAGCCTTCTATGGTGTCTCATCCCTGAACAGACATCAGAAAGCTCACACTGGAGAGCCGCACTATCAGTGCAGTGAGTGTGGGAAAGCTTTCTTTGACCGCTCATCCCTTACACAGCATCAGAAGATTCACACTGGAGACAAGCCATATGAGTGCACCGAATGTGGGAAAGCCTTTAGCCAGAGATGCCGGCTTACGCGACATCAGAGAGTGCATACAGGAGAGAAACCCTTTGAATGCAGCGTGTGTGGGAAAGTGTTCAGTTCTAAATCGTCTGTTATTCAGCATCAACGGCGTTACGCCAAACAAGGAATAGACTGAGTTGGTGAAAGCTTTAGTCAAAGGACCTCCATAGAAACTCAAGATAGGTCTTCCCCGTCATAAGCAAATCCATCCTTTGAGCATTCTACCTATTCTGGCTACTAATCTCCTTTTCCATCTCTGCTACACAGTGTGAATAAACATTCTCTACCTACTGTGTTAGAGAACTGACGTGGGATGCCGGAAGTTAGGATGTGACTCTAAAGGGCCAACATTTTGCGGAAGTTTGTCAGACAACAGGATAAATATTAGGAGGTGATCCTCAGACACACCTCTTGTCTGAGGGCCCACGTATCACTGCACTTTAATAACTGGAGGCTTGAACAGGAGGGAAGGCAAAATTGGAGCAGCCCTGTTGTTTCCAGAACAGTTCTTTTTATTGCTGTGTCCCTTTCTCTGGGAGCTTTTTTGGGCACCAACCTTGTTCTTTGTGTCCCAGCTTTTAGGTCCCTCCTACTACTAATTAGCACTTACTGAGTGCTTATTATGGGGTAAGCACTCAGCGGAGAGTTTGGGAAAGAGTAGATTATTTGGTCCTCTCACCAACCCTATGAAGTAGAAGTAGGTACTGTTACTATCCTCATTTTACAGGTGAGCAAACTGAAGTTTATAGGTGTTAAATAATTTGCCCAAAGTGACACAGCTAGTAAAAGGTGAAGCTAATCCTTGAATACAAGTCTACCTTCAAAGTCTGTTCTCTTAACCATTATGCTATATGGTTAGTTTAATAATTTATGTACATGTATTATCTCCTCAACTAGATTGTAAGCACTTGGAGGCATGACTTATGTGTCTTTGCATCTCACACAGTGCCTTGCACATAATAGGTGCCCAATAAATATTTATCTGAATTAATGACTTTTCTACTTACCGAGTTCTCTCTATTTAAAACACCTCTTGGATGTCCATCCTGTCTCTGAATTTTCAGTCTACCCTACACCTTTATCCTCTCAGGCTCCCATTACTGTGGTAGTCACTTCCTAATTTGAATTCTTCCCTCTTCACTATTGAACAGGGGTATGCTAGGCTCTCGTAACCCCCCAACTGAAGATTCATGTCTCACATAAAATCTGATGTGAGTCAGTCTGTCTTACTCCATCCTCATCATTTAGAACATGTTGCCTCTAAGGTTATCATGAAAGATAAAACTGAAAGATATTTTAGGATATTTTTAAGGGCCATCACTTGTGTCCACATCTCATAAACCAGAACCCAGCACCAGAGGCTAGGAAAGTAAACAAGCACCTCAATATTTGGTTAACATCAAAAACTTCTGTCACAAATTACATTTTGCATGTTACTGACATTTTGCACATTACTTTTAGACCAGTCTTTCTAAATGACCCCTTCCTGCTCATCATTGCCTTACTCAAGACCTAAAATAGCTCCCTGTTTAATGAAAGCTTCTCTGAATGTTTAAGGTCTGCCTTGATGTGATTCCACATCACTGAACTTTAAGTTCTGACTCCCTAAACTCTTCTATGCCCTGGGCCCAGCCCTATATTTTTATTTTATTAAAGGTCAGGGACTAGGCAGCTTTGACCCTAGGCATCTGCATTCCCTTCCTAGTTGCTTGATGTGAAGCCCAGAAGAGGACTTGATTCTGAAAGGCTGTCTGGAATTTAGCTTACCTGCATGAATCCCAGTGGAACAAGATGCATTTCTCCTGAGAGGTAAAGTCAGATTCAAGAAGCTGGATTGCCAAACAGAACCCCCCCCCCCAAATCTACTAACAACCCTATTTGTCCACCTTTCTTAAAGCAGATGAGTGACAGGGAAGACTTCACGTGTGGACTCTTGAAGCAACTTGAAGAAAAACACTTCAGAGAGTGCAGAATCTATCAGAGTGGATAATATCTGGTATTATTTAATAATGTCAAGTAGAAAATAAAAGGGACTATTGACAAACTTTGACCAATGACTATATCTGAGAGTTCTGAATCTTCAATTTATTCCCTTGTCAAAAGTAAATTGAGGATCAAGTATTTCCCCAAGATATTCTGCCATTGTCAGCAAGATGAGACTAGAACAAATTCAGAATACTAATGGAGTTTTGAGTATAGTGTTAAGTGAAACAGAATGGGGACATAAATAAGATAGTTTCCTTTTGTTCCCTTTTTAAATTTAGTGATCTGCAGAGCATTTTTAAAAATGTGAAGTACTCTTCCACCTCCTACTAAAAATTCTGAGGGCAGGGCCATTTTCCCTTTTAACTGATATCTTCCAAGAGGGCATACAGTACTGGAGACCTTAAATTTTGGGTGTTTTTTTTTTTTAAGATTTTATTTATTTGACACAGAGAGAGACAGCAAGAGCAGGAACACAAGCAGGGGGAGTAGGAGAGCAAGACGCAGGCTTCCCGCCAAGCAGGGAGCCTGATGCGGGGCTCAATCCCATAACCCTGGGATCATGACCTGAGCTGAAGACAGACACTTAATGACTGAGCCACCCAGGCGCTCCCCCCCTTTTTTTTTTTAAAGATTTTATTTTTTTTAGAGAGCGAGCGAGAGAGAAACAGCATGAGAGGGGAGAGGGTCAGAGGGAGAAGCAGGCTCCCCGCTCAGCGGGGAGCCTGATGTGGGACTCGATCCCAGGACCCTGGGATCATGACCTGAGCCGAAGGCAGACGCTTAACCATCTGAGCCACCCAGGCGCCGGGGCGCCCCCCTTTTTAAAGATTATTTATTTGAGAGAGAGAGCATGAGAGTGGGGAGGGCCAGAGGGAGAAGCAGACTCCCTTCTGAGCAGGGAGCCTGATGTGGGACTCGATCCTGGGACTCCAGGATCATGACCTGAGCCTAAAGCAGTCGCTTAACTAACTGAGCCACCCAGGCACCCAAATTTTGAGGTTTTAGCTTCACCAAATGATCATTAGGAGTATCAAATCTTAGAATCAGAAATTGGTCAAATTGGAAGTATGCCATATTTTTAAAATTGAAAATGAAACTGGTGGAATTAATTTTAATATTTCGTTCAATATTTGAATTTAATTTAAATATTTAAAATTTTCATGCAATGTTATTTCAACATGTAATCAATATAAAACTTATTGAGATACCCTACATCCTTTTTTAAAAAACTAAATCTTCAACTACTTTGCATTTAGAGCACATCTCAAATTCAGACTAGCCATATTTCAAGTGCTCAGTAGCCACCTGTGGCTAGCTGTATTGAACAGCACAGTTCTGGATAGCCATCTGGAGCTTCTAGAGGGAAAAGATAAAGGATTATTTTGATCATTGGAGATGTTGGAGGGATGCTTGCTTCTGGCCATGTGGCAAGCACTCTGCACCTGTAGAAGGCAGTCTTCTGCTTCCAGTAGGTCAAGTGGTGTCCAAGCCTGGGAAGCCTGTTGTTACCATCCCTCAGACACATTTTTAACAGATCTCAAAACAGCTGCTTTGATCTCTGTGTGCCTGACTCCTTTGTTCTTTCTGAGTTGGATCTTTTATTATCTCAGGTGGGGAAGAGATGTTATGTATGAACCTTTAACAACCCAACCAGGATATGGAGGAGGAAGTATCTAAGGTTGCCAGTTAGTGAAAGATAAAAGATACTTTGTGTGATCATTTCACCTTTTCTGAGCAGGATATTAGAATCCATTTATTATGATTCTGGAGGGAGGAGGATGTTTTATTAGAATGTGCAAAGGACGAATGGTGCTGGCGATGGATGTGCCCAGTAGAAGCCACTAGAGCTCCCCCACCACCCCAAAATTGTCAATATAAAACAGAAAAATTACAGCCATGATGATAAAGTTGGAGGACCTGGGAATGATTTGTCCCACCATTTCCTTTCTGATTCTTTGATTTGTCTGGTCAAAAAGCTAAATCCTGGAAGTTAACTATCTCTGATATTACAGAAAAGCTAATGAAATGGAGTCAATTGTAGCTACTTCTGTGCTTCACCTTGTTTCTACATTGGAAGGTAGCTGTAAGTTGCCCTTTGACTGATATGTAGCCACTGATCTAGTTAACACATTATTTTCTATACCCATTAAGTTGATCCACCAGTAGCAGTGTAAATTTAATTTCACCTAACACACTAGCAATTTACTTTTACTGGCCTGCCACTGAGATATTTTTTTTGCATTATACCATAATTTGATAAAGCAAGATTTAAATCATTAAAATAATGAAATTATTCATCATACTAATGACAGTATCTGTTAAAAAGAGAAGGAGAAAAAGCCAATAAATAGCACGTAATCAAGTTAGTCACTGCCGTGGGCAACTGAGACTCAATCCCACTAGGACCTGGGAGTCATGTTGAATGAGCCTCAGAATTATCTGCCCCTGAAGTGGGGAGCATTTATCTACCGGCTTCCATCCCCTGTTGGTTAAGTGTTGCTGCATGAACACCCAGGGTTTCTGTAGTCATCCCCATGGCAAAGTCAGAGACTAACTCCAGGGAGGGAAGTGACAAGGGTGGGGTACAACTGAAGCGAGGGTTTATCTGATTATGTTTGTGCAAAAGTGTTTGCTGCAGCATGGCTGGGGTAAAATTTGGGCCAAAGGAATATGAGGTAGTGTACCCAATAGAGAGTGAGCTCAATTGAATATATTGAACTTGAGATGTTTGTGAAATATCCAGACATATGTGGAAATGTTCTGTAAGCAAGACTGAGTTAAAAAGAGTAATCTCAGATATATGGCTATCTGAAACCATATGAGTGATGGGAAATAGCTTATCAAAGTGTAGGTAGGAAGAGACTAGGATCTAGGATAGGTCCTTGAAGAACACTGAGATTAAACGGGCATGAAGAGAGGAAGAGCCCATAAAAGGAGAGTGAATAGAAGAGGATAGGGAGGTAAGAGAACCACTAGGTGAGAGCAGGGTCACAGGAAAGACTTTCAAGAAAAAGAATAGTGAAAAAGTATTCAATGTTACCAAGTGGTCAAGAAAGACAAAGCCTTAGCCTTTTCACGACGATGGCACCAAAGGCAAAGTAGGAAAACCCTGCCCCTCCCAAAGCAGAAGACAAAGCAAAGGCTTTGAAGGCCAAGAAAGCCATGCTGAAAGGCATCCACAGTCACAAAGAAAAAATCCGCAAGTCACCTACATTCCCACAGCCCAAGATACTGTGTATCCGAAGGCAGCCCAAATACCCTCCAAAGAGCACCCCCAGGAGAAACAAGTTTAACTGCTATGCCATCATTAATTCCCCCTGACTATGGAGTCAGCCATGAAGAAAATATAAGACAACAACACACTTGTGTTCATTGTGGATGTCAAGGCCAATAAGCACCAGATCAAACAGGCCGTGAAGAAGCTTTGTGACATTGACAGAGCCAAGGTCAACACCCTGATCAGGCCCGAAGGAGAGAAGAAAGCATACGTTCAACTGGCTCCTGACTATGATGCTTTGGATGTTGCCAACAAAATTGGGACCATCTAAACTGAGTCCAGCTGGCTAAATCTAAATCTAAATTTTTTCACCATATCCGGGGGGGGGGGGGAGACAAAGCGTTAACGTTCCCTCCCCCCCCACCCCGTGTTTGTCGGTAACTTGGAGGGTGGCGCCAAAGCCATATTGGAATGAATTTGGTTAAGGAATGAGTGGGGAGTGGAAGGTAGAAATAGCAAGTATCCTCAGTGCTGAGTAATTTGGCTTTGAAAAGGAGAGGTCAAGATTGGTAGTTGGAGGGGGAAGTTAAGACTAAGCGAATACTTCTTTTAAAATGTGAGAGATGTGCACACGTATCAGGATGCCTTCAGGTACAGGGGACAGAAAATTCTTCCCCAACTTGCTAAAGCCTAAAGGGACTTTATTAAATGATAGAATTGCAAAGCCCCAGTGTAGCTCTTGTTTATTGTTATAATTGGAGAGGCTGTAGAATGGACGTAAGGAGAAGCTGTAGAATGGACGTAAGGAAAGGCAAATTTTTATATCTGATTACAGGCAAGCATGGGAATTCTCTCTGATGCTTCTTCCGGTCCACCCCCATTCCGAAAGTGAGGGAGGAGATGAAGTGGCAGGTGCCTGAGGAGAGCAGAGGTTACAAATATCCTCCTGGAGAACTGGATAGAAAGCTGCATAAAAACAGAGGCATCCACGGTAGGGGTCCGCCTGGGGCAGGCGAACAGGGCCAGGAGACAGCTTTGGTTCTTCATCCTTCGGCTTCCCTTCATTTTTACTCCAAATGTCTCCTTCCACCTTTTGAGGAACGTATTCGTGTACCCCGTTTGGTACCTTAGGGGGCGGGGTCTCCGAAAACCGGCTGGGCCTCAGGTTTTCCGCTACGCCCGCGGCCTTCTGGGAATCGTAGTTTTCTGAGGGCACTGTGCGCAGGCGCTCCGTGGTCCTTGCTCCTTGTGGGGCCGCCGCGAGCAGGTTGGCACCCAAGGTGAGGACCAGGGGTCGGGTGTGGTGGGAGCGGCGCCGGGAGAGGGAGGTGTTGAAGAAAGGACGGGGAAGGAAGGAGGGATGCGAGGCGCGGTGACGTGAGGCTGGACCCGAAATGGGGTGTTTCGAACTATCCCTGGCCCCCGCCCCTAGGCTGCCCTTGATCCGACCTGCTGCGGGGCAGGGGAGGAGGCGCCAGCTGCAGGCCCGGCGCGACCCAGGGCGACGACGTGGCTGCGAGGTGAAGTGAGATGTCGCTAACCTGGTTCCGGAGTGTGAGATGACGTGCTCTGGGGTGCGCAGAGCCGCGCTCCGCAGTGCGTATCCCCCGGGTAGAATGGCGCATTCCCTCCCTTAGCCTTCCTTTCCGAAGCTCGCCCTGCGGTCCTTCCCCTGCTTACCCGTGGTAGGGGTTCAGGACACCAGGACTGAACTGACTCCGCGCAAACCTGCTGGTCCATCTTTCCCGGAAAGCACCTCCGTTCCGTGAGCCAGGTTCAGGCGTTTCAACCTCTTACACCCGGCTCGTTGGAGCTGCCCAGCGGCGCTCCCTCTTCTGAGTACTGCTTTCCAATGCCAGCCAGACTTTCGTGCAAAACTTGGTATTTCAGTTAGTCTGCAAATAGTTCTTGAGTACTATGTGGAAGTAGCTTTCTTAGTGTGAGGGAAGCAAGATGTGGCTCCCAAGATTTACCACCTACTTGGAAAGATAAAGATACAAAGATACTTATATACTAGGTGATTGAATCAGAAATCTGAGAGTTCAAAGAAGATAAAGACCCTGACTCTTTGTTTTGTGATGTGGATCCATTTGGTTGTAGATTGGGAAAGAGTTTATACGCTTGGCTGGAAACATCCATAGCTTATTTTAATGACACTGGTGGGCATCTTAAGATTAATATCACCTTTTGGTTCTGTGAAGCACATTGGATGCTGTGTCCTCTATGTACCCCCAGGACTCTAAAGAGCTCTTAAGAGGAGAGGTCTGGTAGCAGAACATGAAGAATGAAACCTTAGGTAAGGAAGGTAGAAGCTTGCCTTTGCTACCTGTCTGGGTCTCTGGGTTGCAAATTACAGAAACCCAGCTCAAACTAGTATGGAGGGGGGGGGAGGTTCATTTTGAGGATACTTGGTTAGGTCACAGAGCCCCAAAGAAAAGACTACAGGTATGTAAACTGGAACAAAACAAATTCAGGACCCTCTCTTAACCCCTTGCCCCTTCTTCTGTATGCCCTTATGTTTCATATTTCCCTGTCACTGCTGACTGGCTTTTTCTGCTCTCAGGTGGCTTGACAAAATGTGACTGTCAAGGGCTCCCAAGTTTTCATGCCCTCAAGTGGAGCTTCATGAGAAGAGACTGATCTCTTTTTCTTGGTTCCACTTCCAAAATTCCATGGGAAGGACTAATTTGTTCAGATGCCAATCAGCTTTGGCCAGGAAATGGAGTCAGTTTTTATTATTGTATGGATGTGGGTAAAGCTATTTCCTTGAAAAGAGTGAAGTGTTGGCAGAGCTCAAGAGACAGAACAATAGCTGCTGCTTGTTGCCTGTCACTCACCTTGAAGTAGAACTACTAAGAAAATTACTTTTTGTAGAGTAGTAGGCTGTCCTGGCCATAGTCCCTTTCTCTGAGAACTGCTCTTTGTGCTCCTTGGGAATGGCTGAGTGGGCAAGAGGTGGAAACATGATCTAAGGTCATTAGTCTCTCAATGGCTAACAACCAATAGGGCCTTAAGAATTCTAAGTAGGAAACACAGAGACCATGGCCAGTTAATCCCGGGAGGGCTGGGAGTTAAAGACCTTATTGAACCTTATCTGTACAGAGGATAATGTTCTTTTTTTTTTTTTAAAGATTTTATTTATTTATTTGAGAGAGAGAATGAGATAGAGAGAGCATGAGAGGGGGGAGGGTCAGAGGGAGAAACAGACTTCCTGCTGAATAGGGAGCCCGATGCGGGACTCGATCCCGGGACTCCAGGATCATGACCTGAGCCCAAGGCAGTCGCTTAACCAGCTGAGCCACCCAGGCGCCCCAGAGGACAATGTTCTAAGAACATTCCTCTGAAAAAAAAAAAGAACATTCCTCTGAGAACATTCTCTTGGAGGATAAAGAGATGCAAGACCCATTTAGCCCTTGATGGCTTGAGAGAATACCTTTTGTTTCAGCACCATTCTCATTTGTGGTCGCCTCCATGCACATGCATACACAGAAATTATAAATATAATCTTGCTCTTGGCCATTCTAAATATCCAAGATGGCATATACAGTTTCTCTGTGTAGAGCTCTTAAGAGCAAGAGGTAAAGATATGCAGCACCATCATCCTTCAATATCCAGCGGGGTACACAAGTCTATTAATGAAAAAAATAAAATCTGATTGGTAGTGGATCACAACCATAATTGGAATCCAGAAGATGGTGCCAAGTAGGATTTATCGCACTGGATCATATGGATTGTATTATATAGAATCAGCCTCAGATGAGCACTGATGGATCCCTTTACCCTTTCTTTCTCTACTCTTCTGTCCTCCCTACTGGTACTGACTCCATCTTGCAACAACTTTTGTAATAAATCCCTGACAGAATATTGTTATAGCATTCTCTGTGGGCAAGCTTGGGGAGACCATTGTTCCTGGCTCCACTTCTGGAAGGGTTTTTCACTTTCCCTGACTAAAACTTCTGTCAGATGAAATTTTCTCTTGAGAATATTGTTATCTCTCATGTCTTCCAGGTACTGTTATGTCGCAGGTTGTCTCCATATCAGGCCCAAAGATGAGTAGGAATGGAAAGAAGAGGACAGAGATTCTTCATCCTAATCCAGATGTATAGTTATTCTGTGTAGTCTGCCTTCGCTTTCTTTTTTTTTAAAGATTTTATTTATTTATTTGAGAGAGAGAGTGAGAGAGAAAGAGCACAAGAGGGGGGAGCGGGAGGGGGAGAAGCAGACTCCCCGCTGAGCAGGTAGCCCGATGCGGGACTCGATCCCGGGACTCCAGGATCATGACCTGAGCTGAAGGCACTCGCTTAACCAACTGAGCCACCCAGGCGCCCTGCCTTCGCTTTTTGATATTTGACTGCTGACAGCTTTTAAGACTCACTCCTCCTTCCCCTTGTGTCCCACACCTGGACAAGCTGATAAGGAAGCCTGAATGCTCTCTCCCTGGGCATTGGCAAGAGATTCACATCACACAGACCCCTTCCTGTGGGCATGGGAACACTCACCCTGGCCCTAACCACAATAAAAACCCAGGCCAGTCTCCTTTCCTCACTCTCTCAAGCCATTTTGGGCCTGCTTGAGAGACGTACCCTGGTCTCTCCCAGAGACCTCAGTTACATAAGTAATAAACCTTTTCATACACTTGGTCTGTGTTTATGTGGATCATCATTCTCAATATTGGAACCCAACTTTGGGTGGGTCCTATCTGCCTCTGCAGGTGACCATTACACTCTGGATACCCTAGCTCTCTAGCTAATCCTTTATTTCCCATGGTCTTCTGTGATGCCAGCCAATGCTGCAGGGGCAGTGGTCAGTCAGTCCATCCTGGTTGGTCCTGCTGCCCTGTTTCTCCTGCAGGAGAAGCAATTGTATTCAGTCCTGAACTCACCATTGAATATCTGGGTGTCATTTTGCATATAGCCTCCTAGTTCTGTGGAAACTTTAAAAATGACTAACAGAGGTGCTTGGCTGGCTCAGTTGGAGGAGTGTGCAACTCTTGATCTCAGGGTTGTGAGTTCAAGCCCCATGTTGTGTGTAGAAATAATAAACTAAAAAATAAATAAATAAACTTAAAAAAAATGACTCTACAAAAAAAAAAAAAAAATGACTCTACCAAAAAAAAAAAAAATGATCCTAAAGAAACTGGCTGCAATTTCTAGAATCTGGTGTCTGACTCCGTTTCTTGGTTGGATGAGACCCGGTCACTTTCTTGAAACTTTGGCAATCAGGAAGGAATTAGGACAGGAGGCCAGTGCTCTTCAGATCCCGGTAAGGGCCACAGATGTCATGAGGCCTAGATGCTGTTTAATTACAGTATCCTTATAATGCCTACTGTACCCTAAAAATAACACCTGAGTTGGCTTGAATGTATTTCTGGTCCTTAGAATGAAACAAAACTTGATTAATACACTAATAAACTAATTTGCTTTTACTTTTTTATTCTTGATCATATGGACTTCACATTAGCTTTATTTTATTTTTTGTTTTTTTAAGATTTTATTTATTTATTTGACAGAGAGAGAGAGCCTAAGTAGAGGGAGCAGCAAGCAGAGGGGTGGGAGAAGCAGGCTTCTCACTGAGGAGGGAAGCATGATGTGGGGCTTGATCCCAGGACTCTGGGATCATGACCTGAGCTGAAGGCAGACACTTAACCGACAGAGCCACCCAGGCTCCCCATCCACATTAGCTTTTAAAAAAAGTGTTCGTATAAGCATCTTCCTGGTCATCTTGAACTTAAAAGTCAAATTGAGTTATTTATTAAATTGCTTATTTATGTCAAAATACTACAGAGTACAATGCTTATTATAGATTTATAAAACGGGGTAAAAATTAACTTCATTGTAAACTGTTTGATTTTTTAATAGTTTTCTGGTGTGGGTTCTGTTCCCAGGAAGCTGCTAACTCAGGAATAGAGTTATGGCAATATCCGTAATTTCCATCTCCTGGGAAACGAATTTACTTCTAGGCTTGCTTTGCTCTTCGTAGAGTATTGAGAGTAAGGGCTGTTTCATACCTAATTGATATGTAGAGATTTTTAGTCTGGGTCAGAGAACTACAAAATGCAATTGGTCTCTTTCATGTTTCCTTCTCTAGCTCTGCCAACTCTGGCCTGGGCCTTTTCCAAGAGAACATAGAGGAGGAGAGAATGGCGGCCAAATGGCAGGTGAGTTGGATTTTCTTCAGTCCGGAGCTTCTTTGCAAGCCTTGGAGATTCATCCCATTATGGTAAAAGTTGGGCTCTGAAGAGAAGACGAGAATGTTTGCTGGCTTCAGATTCTCTTCTTTCTCACCATACAACACAGCTGTAGGGATCTTCCTTCTGAATGGCCCTTCATAACGCCTTGGTGACCAGTCCCATCATGTCTTTTGTAATGGTTAGGGACCAGAGGATTGAGGCAACTCTGCCCTTAGCAGTGAGCTCAGGGAGTGCTTAGAGAACTCTCATGAGAATATAAAAATTCTGAATCTTCTAGTCTGGACTGTTATATTCTTTTCAAAGAAACACCATATTTTTTTATCTTTTTTCTCCAGTTTTAGTTCTTAAAAGTATCTTCCATTCCTCGTGCACTTATCATGGATCTTCCCTTGACTTGAGAATCAGTTGTTCAGGCTGAGATCCTCATGGATCCATGAGTGTTAGAGCTGAAAGGGAATTTAAAGATCATCTAATCTAATTCTTTAATTTTATGATTTAAAAAATTGAGGCTAATAACAGTGTCCCTGAAGTTTGGAGGCTCTGCCATGGATATGACATGAGGCTATCACCAAGAGTTTCATGCCTCAGGTCACAGACCTGTACCTCTTTTTTTTTTTTTTTTTAAGATTTTATTTATTTATTTGAGAGAGAGAGAAATGGAGCATGAGCAAGGGGGAGGGCAGAAAGAGAGGGAGAAGCAGGCTCCCCACTGAGCCGGGAGCCCAACGCAGGGCTCAATCCTGAGCCAAAGGCAGACGCTTAACCAACTGAGCCACCCATGTACCCCATCTTTTTTTTTTTTTAAAGATTTTATTTATTTGATAGAGAGACACAGTGAGAGAGGAACACAGCAGGAGGAGGGGGAGAGGGAGAAGCAGGCCTCCCGCCAAGCAGGGAGCCCGATGCAGGGCTTGATCCCAGGACCCTGGGACCACGACCCGAGCCGAAGGCAGACGCCCAATGACTGAGCCACCCAGGCGCCCCTCTTTTTTTTTTTTTTTTTAAGTAGTCTCTATGTCCAGTGTGGAGCCCAACACAGGGCTTGAACTCACGACCCTGAGATTAGGACCTGAGCTGAGATCAAGAGTCAGACATTTAACTGATTGAGCCACCCAGGTGCCCCTCAGACCTGTACCTCTTATGTAAAGTATCCAGTGCTCTTACATCATTAAAATCATTTCTTTTTAATTTCATATATCCTCCAGTGCTGTATTCTTTTCTCTTACTCAGTGAGACATAAAAGAAGACACATAGGTGAGTAAGAGAACATGTTTGTCTTTTCAGAAGTCACTCAAGTTTAAGGATGTGGCTGTGAAGTTCTCAAAGGATGAGTGGAAGCAACTGGTCCCTACTCAGAGGGCTCTTTACAGGGAGGTGATGCTGGAGAACTATCAGGGTTTTGTTTCTTTGGGTAAGCATGACTTTCCTTGGTGATTCAGAATCTGCCATTGGGGGTGTGTGTGAAGAAGATGGCCACCCTTCTTTTCTTACTGGGGCAGAATTGTACATCTTCGGATAGATCCCCAGGAAGGGTGTAAGTGGTTTATTTATTTTTTGTTGTTTGTGTTTAACTAATAGCTGTCAGTACTGTCAGTAAATGGCCTTTTTGATCTGGATAGAATCTGTAGGATAAGTGAAGTTTGGTCTGAGACCCTAGCTTTAAGCAAAAAATTGTATTATATAAAATGGAAAATGGGTACCCCCTTTCCGGGGAATTTTCAATAAGGGGGGGAAAATCAGATATATGTTTATCTCTGTTTTCCTAAAATTGGAAAACAGTGGAAACAACGCAGGCACTTGGGAATAGGGATTTAGGTAAATGAATCATTGTACATCCATAATGGAGTACATTGTACATCCACATGGGCCTTGACCATGAATGATATTTATAGAGTTAGAAAGATATTAATAATATCCTATTAAATGATAAAAGCAGTATATGAAATGATTGGAACCTGAGTACATTTACAACATATATCTATATGCATAGGAAAAGTCTGGAAGAATCTACACCAAAATTTTTTTTTCTTTTTTTTTAGATTTTATTTATTTATTTGAGAGAGAGAGAATGAGAGAGAACACATGAGAGGGGGAGGGTCAGAGGAAGAAGCAGACTCCCCGCCGAGCAGGGAGCCCGATGCGGGACTCGATCCAGGGACTCCAGGATCATGACCCAAGCCGAAGGCAGTCATTTAACCAACTGAGCCACCCAGGCGCCCGAATCTACACCAAAATTTTACCCCTAATTATCTTTGACTAGTAGGCTTACAGGTAACTTTTTCTTTTTTTTATATTTCTTAATTGTCTACAATGAACATGAAATATTTTTTTTAATTAAAAAATTTTTTTTTTTAGAGAGAGAGTGTGTGTGTGTGTGCACGAGCCGGGGTTGGGGGGTGGCGGCTCAGAGGGAGAGGGAGAGAGAGAGAATCCCAAGCAGGCTCCATGCTCAGTGCAGAGCCTGACATAGGGCTTGATCTCACGACCCTGAGATCGTGACCTGAGCCGAAATCAAGAGTTGGACACCAAACTGACTGAGCCACCCAGGCACCCTGAACATGAAATATTTTTAAAACTACAAAGATGAGGAAACATTTTTAAATGCATAGTGATTAACACCAAAGTTAGTATAGTGGTTGCCTCATGGTGGGAGAGGAAGAGGGGATGAGGGAGGGGCTTCAATCTTAGTATTAATGTTTATTAAGTTAGATGGGTTCATAGGTGTTTGTTTTAGTCCTTATGCCTTTTGTGCGCTTAAACATTTAATAGTGCAATTAAAAACTAAATGTAGAAAATGTATATATGTCACTAAATAAATTTATATATGACATTTATAAATGTCACTACTTTAAATCATTAAAAACCAAAGACATTATAATTTTTCTTTTTAAGAATTTCTAAAAAATTGTTTATTAATGTTTTCAGTTTTAAGTCTTTAATATTAACTGCACATAAGTTGAATATATTTCTTAAACTGCTCTAGTTTGATTTGTAGTTGCATCAAATTCAGTATAATTGCACAGAAGTATAATTAAGGGATACAAATCTATTATTTAAAAAACTACAAAAGAAAATGGGATAGCTTCTTCACCTTAGTTCCTTGAAGTGCAGAACCTTCTCCATATTCTACTTCTCTAAGCTAAGAATTTCCCCTCAACTCACAAGAATACTCGTTCCATCTGGGGGAGGTTCCTAGATCAGAGAAAAATTAGTGAACTACTTCAATAGATCTAATTCAGACTTTCTAGAAAGTCAGTACTGACTTCCCTTCAGAGAAGGAGAATTAGCATCTTATCTTAGAAATTAGCATATGCTTTTTGGATACTTCCATTTTCCTCTCTAGAGAGTAAGGGGATCTTATTAAACCCTGAGATAGTTGTGAATTTCCATCCCAAACAGCCATTTCTCATTTTGTCCTTTGTGAGCAGGAATTCTAGTTCCTAAACCTGATGTGATTTTCCAGTTGAAGAGAGGTGAAGAGCCATGGAAACTTGATTTTCAGGAAGATGAAGAAAGTGAAGTCCCAGGAAGCACTTTCCTAGGTATGTGTGAACTGGGTAGATGGGATTTCGCTGGACAGTTCACTTAGAGACCACTCCTTGTGCTAGTCATAGGCCTATGGAGAGGGTCACTTCTGTACTGGGTCTTTGTCTGGAAAACTTATGCCCAGGTAGCCACGTGGCTTTCTTGTCACCTTTTTCAGGTTTTTGCTCAAATATGCTGCCTTCTCAGTCAGGCCTGCCCTGACGACCCTATCTGTAATTGAACTCTCTCCATCTCTTTCCTCCTTCCCTGCACTACCTTAGCTCTCTTCTCAGGTGTGTCTTCCTAACATACTGTATTTTTACTTCTTTATTTTGTTTCGTGTTTGTCCACACCTACCCTGATGAAAATGTAAACTCCATCAGAGGTTTTATGTTGTTCACTACTGGATCCCCAGTGTTTAGAACAGCACCTGGTACATAGTACACACTCAGGTATTTGTCATATGAACAAACAGGTATCAAGGTCTCACCTCTTGGGGGTTTTGGGGTCGGAGGCTGAGGGAGGGTTGAGACCTATTTGTATTGAACTCTGATAATACTTTTTTATCTTTCCTACTTACCTTTTACCATATCTCTTCCTCTTCCTTTAAAAGCCATTGTCATTGACAGTTCACTTTCTCAGGTCCTAGCTGGTCTTCCCACTTACTCTCTGCTGTTTTTTTTTTTTCTTTCTTTTTTTTTTTTTTTTAAGATTTTATTTATTTATTTGAGAGAGAGAATGAGAGAGAGAGCACATGAGAGGGGGGAGGGTCAGAGGACGAAGCAGACTCCCTGCCGAGCAGGGAGCCTGATGCGGGACTCGATCCCGGGACTCCAGGATCGTGACCTGAGCCGAAGGCAGTCGCTTAACCAACTGAGCCACCCAGGCGCCCTACTCTCTGCTGTTTAAACTCACTGACATGTAATAAACTGCCCAGTCATTTCCATGCTTCTTTGTGTGTCCCCTGTTTTTCTGCATGTACCTCTCCCTGAAATGTTCTTCTTTTGGTTGTTCGCATGGTTAATATATCTTCCAGATGACCATTCTTAAGTTTTCCTTCTAGAGAAGACCCCACTCCAACTTCCATTCATTATTTCCTTCACTGGACTTACCATATCTGTTATATTTTATTTGTTTAGTCTTTGTCTTCTGTCATATAGAATATAAGCATCATGAGGGCAGGGACCATGTCTCTCTTATTCAGTACCTAGCACTTTGTAGGCACCTAGTAAATATCTAATGAATGAACAACAGAAGCTTGTTTGGCAGGCTAATTGCGCACCTTCTACTCCTCTTCTCTGTTCTCTTCTCCTCTGCCATTTTTCAGCCTCTCTGTGATGTTTTTCTTTTGAGGAGTTATCAAGAAACCAGGCAGTATTTTGTATTCATTCTTTTCTTTTTTTTTTTAAGATTTTATTTATTTATTTGAGAGAGAAAAGAGCGTGAGTGAGAGAGAGCACAAGCCAGGGGGAGAGGCAGAGGGAGAGGGAGAAGCAGACTCCCCACTGAGCAGGGAGCCCGACTGGGCTCAATCCCAGGACCCTGGGATCATGACCTGAGCCGAAGGCAGACACTTAACTGACTGAGCCACCCAGGTGCCCCTGTTCATTCTTTTCTTAACATAGATAATGTTCTTTTTTTCACTAATATTAAGACCCAGTTATATCTGTAATTTCTCTTTGTTTTAGACCAGAATGCTAGACTTGAGAGCCAGGACTCAACTCAAAGGCAGGATGTTTCTAAAGAAGCAAAGTCACAAAAGACATTAATGGAAACACTCAGAAAATATGGTCCTCTGGGTCCTGTACTTGGCCCAGAAAACCTTGAGGGCACCAAGAAAGAACATCTTTCAGGGGAGACTTTGAAGAAATCCTTCCCCAAGGAAGACTCGCAAAGATCCACTCCTGCCAAGAAAACCAACAGTAAGGGGAGAAACCTTGAATGCAGCATATGTGGGAAGACCTTATATAACCACTTATCCGTCACTCGTCATCAAAGGACCCACACTGGAGAGAAAACTTATAACTGTAAAGAGTGCGGGAAAGCCTTCAGCTATAGAAGTAGTCTTAAGAAACACCTGATGTCTCACACTGGGAAGAGCCCCTTTGAATGCAATGAATGTGGGAAAACTTTCTATGACCGATTAACCCTTACCGAACATCAGCGAACTCATACCGGAGAGAAGCCCTTTAAATGTCACGAATGTGGCAAGGCTTTCTTTGTCCGCTCATCTTTTACCCGCCATCAGAGAATTCATACTGGAGAAAGTCCTTACGAGTGTACAGAATGTGGGAAATCCTTTAGCCAGAAAAGCATCCTCGCTCGCCACAAGCTCACTCACACTGGAGAGCGGCCTTATGAATGCAGGGGGTGTGGCAAAGTCCTGTTTGACCGTTCCTCCCTCATTCGCCACCGCAGAGCACACACCGGAGAGACCCCTTTTGAATGTAATGAGTGTGGGAAAGTTTTCTTTGACCGCTCATCCCTTAATCAGCATCAGAAAATTCATAGTGGAGACAAGCCCTATAAATGCACCGAATGTGGGAAAACCTTCCTCCAGAAGAGACCCCTTACTCAGCATCAGAGAGTGCACACTGGAGAGAAGCCCTACGAATGCAGCGTGTGTGGGAAGGTGTTCAATTGCAAGTCCTCTATCATCCAACATCAGCAACGTTATGCCAGGCGGGCTTCAGACTATCATAGAGATGCTTCAGCCCGGCAAGGGACCCCCACAGGAACTTAAGCCACTTTTGTGCAAGATCATGAAGATTTGTGTTTGAGCACCTTCTAACTGCTGCTTATTCTCATGCCTCCATTTGATACTAGAGTCTCAGTAAATAGTCTTAATGGACCATGCCATAGACTTCCCCTTGGATGCCTCATACTTAGTATAATACTCTGAGGATCCCCAGATTGGTCAGAAGCTCTCCAATCAATATGTTTTGTAAGTGTTTGAAGGGGACCCTAAGATAAGCATCATATGTTATTTATTTATTTATTTATTTATAATTGTTTTTTTTATTTCTGGACCACTCCATAAGAATGGGAACTATTTCATATCTGTGCACTGCTGTGTCCCCAGTGTGGTGCCTGCCACTTATTACATATTTTCTCAATGAATGAATACCTGTCTAGTCATGAGAACTTGAGTCCCCAGTGAAAAGTAGTTTCTAGAACTAGAAACTTCAGTAAGAAAATTAACATGAAGGTAATATGTATGTAGGACTGTAAATGCCTTCACTATAACTGCCCTATTAGCTCTTAATCCACTCTTCTTGGAGGTTTCTGGAGCCCTGGTTTGGGTATGCCCTTGTTCTTCCCTCAGGATCCTTAGTTTCCCTGAACTTTGGCTCTAACCTGACCTTTGGGCTCTAGTAGACTAACCTATCACCCTTGTTTCTAGGTTAATGGTTGTGTTTTTGTTTTATATTTGTTTAATCTCATTGATAACTAAAATTCCTTAGCCTGGTTTTGCCATTCCATCCATACCCTGGACACAACACCTTCCCTTTCTCATAATGTATTCGTGTATAATTGCTGATGGGAAAAATATTCACACCAAATGTTCAAAGTCCAATTGCAAGCTGGCTATAGCCACGGTAGATGGGTGGGTTTCCAGGCTGAAGAAGTCAGCTACAATGAACCAGGAGATGGTGCTATGTCTAGTCTCAAAGAATATCACAAAGCCAAAGTTAACTCCAGGTATAGCTCATCCATGAGTAGTCATCCTTCAGTACTAAAGCAGCGGACATGAGAATGTAACTGAGACCCAGGCTAGCACATCCTATTAGACATAATGTCCTTCTTGCCAGAACATCAGTATCTGTGAAACCAAAATGCAGACTGTCCTCTCCACACCTACACAGTAGAGACATAGATTGGCTTCCTCACACCTACATCTTGAGAATTCCTCCTTAGTAATAAAGCAATAATTCCAGAGAGCAGCTGAGAGAACACAAGCACTTAGATGAGGAGGAGGACAGGTTCCTCACATCTAGATTTTTTTTTTTTAAAGCACAGTTGTTTTAATTTCTTATACCACATTGGTATTATAATGGATGAAGGATAGAGAATTAGCATGGCACTCTCTTCTTTCATCTTGTTAATAGACAGGAATCTGGAACCTTGGGCAGGACAAATGGAGTTATAGTGAAGCCCAGTAGCAGAGACCACAAAAAATCAGTCCCCATGATGATCAAAGATCTGTCCCCTTGTATGATGCCCAACCTATAAAACATGCCATAGGTATCATGTAAAAATGTGGATTCCTTTCCATCACACATGTGTCTAAAACCTGTGCAAAGTATGCAGAAGAAGCAATTGACTGAATATCCCAGGATCAGTAGTAGTTCAACTTACTGAGCCATCTTACAGAACCTCATGATTAAGTAACTTGCAAAAGCCGAAGTGTTGATAATAAGCATTGATTAATGCTTACTGTGGCAGAAGCTGTTAGTTGCCTAACTTGTAGTCATACTTCTTTTCTTTCTTAACAATAGGAAATCCAAGTCTCTTCTGAGCAACAGAGTGCTCAACTATATTGCTCAGCCTCTCTTGCAGTGAGGTATATCTAGTCAGGCCAATGAAATACAGATATATCAAATGTCAAGCCAAGTATATTGATATATCACATACCAGGCAAATGATATGTTGATATCATTGGAATTTGTTGGATAAGACTTCTAGAAAGGCACCTTAAAAGGGAGGGACATCTAAAAAACCTCCTTTTGCCTTTGCCTTTCCCTTCTTCTCTACCTGGAATGTGGATTTAGTGGCTGGAATTCCAGCAGCCATCTTGTGACTTTGAGGATCTAAGTCATGCCTGAAGGATGAGAAAGGAGAAAAACAGAAGACATCTGATTCCTTGATGATCTTTTGGAGATTCCATACCAGCTCTGGACTGCCTACTTCTGATCTTGCATGAGAGAGAATAAACCCTTATGTATTTAACCACTATATTCACAGCCAAAGGAAATTTCTGTTAAAGTTGATGGGCAAAGAGAAACAGAAGGAATTTATCTGATCAGATTCCTCCTGTTTCCCTCATACTTTCAGGTTGCTTCATCCAGCCACCCCTAGGGAGGCCAGATCCCACAGCCCACTGTGTGGCACTTAAGCAAGCCTGGAGGTGGTGCAAGGAACCAGAAACTTGAGCTGTGCAGTTGTTTGGCCTGTGGCAAGCAAGGGGGAGAGACTGGCACTCCCAAGCAGATAACTGCCCAGCTGAAGCTGGTGCAATCAAATGTCTGAGTGGGTTCATAGGCTCAGGCAGCTGAGGTAGAGCAAAGTGCTGAGGGTATGTGCACAGGCCCAAAGGTAACATGTAACTTGACTAGGCACATACTCATGCCTGATTTATTGCCTTTGCTATTTATTTCCCGCCAAGTTTGATTACCTGTCTCAAGTCTGCCTTCTTCTCTCCCTACCCGAGACCTGTAGCACCTCTCTCTTCTGTTGAATCTCATGTCCCTGAGACCTCCACCTGTTTGCCACCCAAATCCACCTTTACATTTTCAGTTTTGCCCTCTTCTGTGGTGACTAAAGGATTCCTTGTTTATCACTCTGCATATCAATTTTCATCTCAAAGTAAATGGCCTTTCAAGGCACTGTAGCTTCGAAGGAATGCAAAGATGCTTTCCTAGTGAGATTTTGTGGCAAACACAAAGACAGACTAGAAGGAAACAGAAGCACTCACTAAATTTAGGAAAACCCTTAAGAGACTATATCTTAAAGTGTTCCAACTCCACTCTACTGTGGAACACCAATTTATGTGCTTGGGCCAGCTGGTAGTGTCCAGGGCTACATGATTTCTAAAGTAGGGCCTCTGTAAATAAAAGTAGGATTACGAAGGAAGTCCAGGTTTTCCAAAAGCACACAAATGAAAGCCAAGAAAAACAATGAGGGCAATATTAGTTTCAGGCATTTACACCTTCTCTACAAGCACAGAAAAGAGTATACTCAGTTATTGATCATCTAAGTAGCAGTAAATACTCTGGGATACTCCTCCCATGGAGCTTAATCTGTGGTGTATGGGTGTTGGGAGATACCCAATAAACAAAATTATTACATGTTAGAAAGAGATAAGTACTTTGGAAAAAAATGAAGTGGTCAGCGAAGGCTTCACAAGGAGAACAAAGGCTTGGAGGAGGTGAGAGAGCAAGCCATGTGAATACTTGGGGGATATCCACCCTTCACGTCTATCCAGGCAGAGGAAGAAGCGCAGAGGCTCCATAGTGGAAGCATGCCTCACTCAATTGAATGATAGGTCAGTGTGGCTGCAGCAGAACAAATGAAGGGAAAGTGGTAGAAGATGAGATCAGAGAGTTAGTGTGTGTGGATTTTGCAGGGCTTTGTGGGCCACTGTAAGGACTTTGGCTTTGTTTTGAGATTGGAGAGCAATTGTGTTAAGAATAGGATGTACAGGGCAAGAGTAGGAGTGAGACCAGTCAGCAGGCATTTGCAGTGATCCAGGCAACAGTTGATGGGTGGTTAGACCGGGGTGGCAGCAGTGGAGATGGCGAGACGTGGTCAGATTCTGCGTGTATTTTGAAAGTACGGCCAACAGGATTTGCAGAGGAACTGGATGTGGGTTGTGAGATAAAGAGAAGAATGATGACTCCAAGGTGTTTGGACTGAGCAACTAGAAGGATGAATTGCCATTTACTGAAGTAGGGAAAACTGTAGGAGGAAGAGTTATGGCATTGGGGGAGGAAGGGCATCAAAAGTTCAGTTTTGAACATCCTATATTAGAGATATTTATTAAACATCCAAGTAAAGAGATTGAGGAGACAACTCAAGGTCAGAGGAGAAGCCCATGTTAGAGATACGAACTGGGAATTGATCACATTTGGATGGTATTTAGAACATCTAGTCTGAACAAGATTACTAAGAAGTAAGTGTTCACAGAAAAAGAAGAGCGGCCCAAGGATTGGTCTCTGGGACATTCCAACATTTAGTTGGTTCCCAAATGAGCAGCTTCAGCAGCCCTTGGGAACTTGTTAGAAAAGCAAAATCTCAGGCCCCACCCCAGAATCCTGAATAAGGTTAGATAGAGTTCAGCACTGTGTTTTAACAAGTCTTCCAGGTGATTCTGATCATGGTATAGTTTGAGAATCACTGGTTTTGAGGCTGGGGAGAAGGAAGAGGAGTCTATTTAGAAACTGAGAAGGAGTCATCAGTCAAGGAGGAAAACCAGAATTTTTCCAGGAGGAAGGAGTAGTCAGTTTTATCAACCGCTGGTGATAGATAAAGTGAGAGGAAGACTGAGAATTGACCATTGATTTGGTAACAAAAGAAGGGGGATTTCTGTGATGGGGTTGGTTAACAAAAGGAAGGTATACCCTGGTGTTCCAGACAAGTGGTGCCTTTCATATACAACAGTTTTTCAAATAAACTGTCCACTCCATAGCTCTTGCTATGGAGGAGGTTGGTTGCGGGGAGGCTCCTTTCAGCTGTTCTTTGAGCTGGTAGGGCTGTGTCCTCTACCACATGCTCTCTCTCCTCTCAGCCCTAGCTGATTGGACCAAAAGCAGCCAACCTTACAAATCAGAAGATAAGTGTAGCTATGTGTATAACAAACCTAGTGTAATAGTGGCTTATATAAAATAGAAGTTTACATCTCTCTCACATTAAAGCTCAAGTTCTGTTCCACCTAATTGTCAGGGGCTCAGTTCCTTCTACCGTGTTGGTTTGCCATTTCTCTGGTGTTAACCTTGTCCACGTGGTCCACAATGACTTGTGTTCCAGCCAGCATGGAGGAGCTTTCCTCTTCCCTTTAAGAATCACTTTGCTCTCATTTCCCTGGCAAGAGGTAGGGATGATAAGAAATTTTACTCTAGGAAGCTTTAGGCCTACCTAAAAGTTGGGAACGCTATTAGAGAAAAGACAAACGGACGTTGTGGCTTCTACTCAAAGAGGGACAGGCTAATTTGATTTTCTTTCTTGGGAATTTGAACTAGAGAGAAAACTGGCTACTTTATTGTGGAAGATACATGAGACCATGCACCATCCTGAAGATACACCCAACCCCAGCTGACAGCTCCTCGAACTTCTCTGGAGTCTTGAGAGACTTCCATGTTCCAGTCGCCTTGAGGTTAGCGGGACCAGTGATTAACTAGTAACTTCTTGGGGATCTGACTGTGTCTGGGTTGAGGTGATTTCCAGGACTGAGATTCCATTTTTCCTTATTCTGCAGCCTGGAATACACACCCTTGGTTACTTTATATAATCTGTGTCCCCGTCACAATGGGCTAACACCATGGAAGCGCAGGAAGGAAGCGGTGGGGATGCGGGCGCCTCCCCTCGGAGGGAGTACCAAAGGTAAAGAGGGACTCCTGGGTAGGTGGTGGGGGCCCTCGGCCCGTCAGTTGCCATGCGAGGCGGGGTTTAGCGTGGCCAAACACATCTTCTGGGCCCGGGCCCAGAGTCGGCATCGAGGAAGGCGCGGCCTTTCGAGCAGCCAGCAAGGGGTTTCCTACGGGGCTCGACGCTCTTGGAAACCCAGTAACTACAGGACGTCGCGGGCCTATCAGCCCCGAATAGTGGGGTACCGCCTGGCCAGCGTCCCGCGGAGTCCTCTGGGAAGCGGCGTCCCGTGACGTGAGCCGCGCCCCGCGGAGGATTCTGGGAGTTGTAGTTCAGCCTCGAGTCCGGGCCGGCGTAAGTTGGCCCGGCGGATTCCTAGATACCTTTGTCGCCTGGCCGGGGCTTCCTCTGCGTCGTGCGGGAGGTCGAGCCTGTTGTCGAGGAGGGCTGAGCGCGGGGCCTTCCAAGTCTGAGTGGTCGGAAGGAGGGCGGCGGGAGGGCCACCCGGGTGGCGCCAGGCTGCCCTGCGAGGGTCGCGCGCGCGTTCCCGGGCCTCCGAGTGCACCAGAGCGGTGGACCCCCGGGGTCCCTCGCCCGTTCGCTGCTCCCTTCTCCCGAGGCGGTCGTCACCTGCGCGGGCCGGGGGAGGGAGTCGCCATGGAGCCTGGGGGCAGAGGTGAGAATTTCGGAGGGATGCGGCCGCAGAGCCTGCTGGAGAGAAAAAAAGGGGGAAAGGCTGCCCTCTGGCTGGGGCAGGCTCTGGAAGGAGAAGCATCACGTCTTCTCTGTGAGACGACAGCCCTTTCCAACTGGTTGGTCTCACATTGGGGTTTTGAGGGAGAGCCCGCTACCTCATTGCCCTGCTGGTCTTAAGAATGATGTATGCCTCCCTTGCACCCAAAATCACCAGATCCGACAGTGTGGCTTTTGACAATGACTTCGTTTTGTCTTCACGGGAACCCCATAAGGTGGTTGGAAGGAGATTGTTATACCCATTTGGCAGATGGGGAAAGTGAGTATTCCAGAAGTCACAGGATTTGTTTAGAATCCTGGATTTTTTCCCCCATAAGACCCATTGCTTTTCTAAGAATGCCAGTATTGTATCTGAAAAGCCAGTGTTCAAGAAGAATTTAACTAGTCTTCCTCCTGTGAGCCTGGAAAAGAACAGGAATGAAACATTAAATGAGGATCGGATGGACACACAGAAACTTTGAATATTACTTTGATTCTCACTCAGCGAAGAGAGTTAGAAATACGTATTTAATTTATGTGTCCAGATTTTCATAGCAGAGTCCTTCTAGAGTTTAAGGGCAGAGAAAGATAGGAGGAGTTGGAGGCAACGATGGTCATGTTTGTATTAATTCAGGGATGTTGTGGGATTGTCCCTTGATTTCCTGTGTTGACTTTTCCTAGGTGACAAGTAGCTGTGTGTGGCAGTATCCTCAGGTTTACTGCAAAGCAAGAGTAATCATCATGGCTCCTGTCTCCACTTGTAGGGTCACTTTCTGAGGACTCAGACCATCCCTGTGCTGGAGACCCAAAAGAAAATGGCATGACCACTCTGCTGCTGACCCCTGCATCCCAGGTGGGTTTAATTTCCTTTTTTCTCTTTTGTTTTCAGAACAGAAATACGATTTCCTCCATTGTTATGGAGTTGCTCAGCCATGATTCCTAGACTACTGGGTTCATCCTGATAAAATGATGAGTGATGAACCTGACAGTAAATGCTCCTCACTTGTGCAGAACTTTCCCTCCAGCATTACTTCTCAATCCACTTAGTGCTCAATTCACTCTTACTAGGTCTTTGGTGCTGTCATTGGCCTCATGGTCAGGTGCAAAATAATAGAAGCCAGTTTCCCTGACTCACAAAATTTACTGAGGAAATAAGACAGAGATAAGGAAAATAGTTAATCAGCAAGAAGATATATATATAAAGATGCAGAAATGACTGGTACAGATAAGTCATAAAAGGCCTTGGAAGAGGTTTTACATCCTCTAGAGTATTTGGGGAAAAAATACTGGGATAAAAGCTGTACTTTGGAAAATAAGAGAGAGTAGGTAGTTGGAGAATAGAATACAGGATTATTCCAAGAGAGAGAAAAGCTTTGGCAGAAAGTCTGTAAGCGAGTTGGAAGTCTTCACGGGGTATGTGTGTCACTGTAGGGTGAGCTAGAGTGTGGTAAGGGAAGCTTAGGTATGTTGTAGCCAGACTGCAGGAAAACCTACATGGGGTCTTATTCCAAAGGTAAATAAAACCCCATAAAAGTTTGTAGAGGCCCAGCAAGATGAAACATGCCTCTCTCTGATTGAAGGGAAATAAGTCAAGATGTTTCTGTAAGATCTGGCCTCAGACCCTGGGTGGTAAAGGCAGTGGGACTATTTGACAACTTCAGACCTGCCTCACAGCACTTAGGTCTGAAACGCTGGGGGTTCTGATCTGAATTTGTAGATGTCTTTCAGAGGAAAGGGGAGAGAGAGTCAGTAGCCTCTGCTGGACAGTTTCCAGTTGGTCTTCCTGTGTCTTCCAGCCCCAGCACATGCACACTGAGCAGCAGCTCTTTAAACAAGTTCAATTTCTGAGGTTTTCTCAGGAAACTAAAGTCTGAAAGGAACTGCCAGTTAGTCTGTTACTGTTTGTAAAGAGAGGAGACCATATAAATTATATTGCTGTGTTGATCACTCCTGAGGCACATGGTCTTAAGGGACCATGAACTTAAATAAAAAGGATACTGATTTTATACTTCAAGTATTAAAGAGTTAACATATGTGGATTTAAGAAACAAAACAGAGGAGCATAGGGGAAGGGAGGGAAAAATAAAACAAGACGAAATCAGAGAGGCAGACAAACTGTAAGAGACACTTAACTATAGGAAACAAACTGAGGGTTACTGGAGGGGAGGGGGTTGGGGGGATGGGGTAACTGGGTGATGGACATTAAGGAGGGCAGGTGATCGGGCGCCTCGGTGGCTCAGTTGGTTAAGCGACTGCCTTCGGCTCAGGTCATGATCCTGGAGTCCCTGGATCGAGTCCCGCATCGGGCTCCCTGCTCGGCAGGGAGTCTGCTTCTCCCTCTGACCCTCCCGGCCCTCCCCCCTGTCATGTGCTCTCTCTCTCAGTCTGTCTCTCTCAAATAAATAAATAAATAAAATCTTTAAAAAAAAAAAAAAAAAGGAGGGCAGGTGATGTAATGAGCACTGGGTATTATATAAGACTGATGAATCACTGACCTCTACCTCTGAAACTAATAATACACTATATGTTAATTAATTGAATTTAAGTTAAAAGAAAACAAGATAAAATATTCAACATAAAATAAATAAATAAATAATTTTGAGCAGGGGATTTTCCAAGTAGGTAGTTATCTTAACTTTATTTTATTATATGAATTGTTTTTACCATTTATTTTTGGAAGGCTGTATCATAAACACTAGAATGCTGACTGCAAACAAAATTACCCAGTATATTCATATGTATGTTCAGGGAGCTATGGCAAAAGTGGTAGTTCAAAGAGAGACAAGACTGTTTCATTTGCTAGCATCCCAGGGACAGGTCTGTTTTAATGTATCACAATTAAAGTTGTACAGGAAATTTTTTATATAGAATAGAAAAATTAGTAGACATCTGTCTTATCAGCAGTAAATAGATTCAGCTACAGATTCAGATGAGCATTACCCACTCTGCTCCCTTGCCCTACATTTTAGAAGACAATCTGAACTTTGTGCCTGTCACAAAAAGATAGATCAAGGTTAGGCTTGTACTCCTGCAATGTCTGATATCCTTCTCTTCCCCTCCCCACCTCTGTTCCCACGCCCACTTTTACAGAACCCCATTTAAACTGTTTCTACTAATTCTTCTTCAAGTGTTCCTTCCTTCCTTCAGCCTTTGACAAATACACGGTGTTTCTGCTCTGTGCCAGATAACTAGAGTTGCTCCAGTGAGCAAAATTAGACCCGGCCTCTGCTCTTGTGGAGCTTACCGTCTAATAGGACAGACAGACATTACTCACAAAGTCCCCTCAGTGTGTGCATCACACAAGAGAAGGGGAAGAACATGGTGCACCAGCCCAGAGAGCCAGGAAAGCCTTCCCTGAGGAGGTAACACCTGAACTGAGATCTAAAGTGTGAGCAGGATTAAAATAGCTGAAAGGATGTGGCAGGGGGAGAGCATTCAGGAACAGGAAGCAGCCTGTATAAGGGGGTAAAAGGGAATGTGGCACACATCTCAAGCAGCTGAATGGCAGCCACCAGCTGGAGCACAAGGAATGTGGGAGGAGTAGGGTGTGAGAGGGGAGAAGTAGACAGAGCAGGGGATGGGGGTGTCACACTGATCAGGGCCATTACGAGACATGGCAGGAACACTTGGGGGACTTTTGTAATTTGAGCTTGAGATACTGTTTTACAAATAAATCTACATTCTGTGACATGTATAGCAAACATCTTAACTTTAGTATGTATTGGGCAGATTTTATTCCCAAAGGAAAACTAGAGAGAAAAATATTTCCTGTTTCTTAAACTTCTTACAGTTTAAAACCATACCACAGAGAAAATAGTTAACTCGTAATTATATTTTCTCCCTTCCCCGTGTCTAAATGGTAAGGATTTCTGTAGTTGTGTAATTTAATTTATTGATCTATAAACTAATAACTTGGTCCCTTCAGGTTTTACACTGAAGGTTCCTTCCTACTTGCAGGTTACATGCAGTTCTCTTGTATGGATGCAAGGAGCGAGTCTGGCTACAGATGCACCAGAGAATCTTACTGTTGGAAGGGATGTTAGAGGTCCTTTTGTCTAACCCTCCTGTCCTTCCTGTCTTCCTTCTCTTATGCTATCAGTTTGAGTCCCTCTCAGAGGCTCCTGGAAGATCCCTTGGTGAGCACAGGTGTGTTTGGTTTTTCAGGAGTCATTGGTGATCAGGGATATGGCTGAGGCTCTTACCCAGTGGGGGCAGCTGAACCCTTCTCAGGGAGATGTGCCTGAGAAGCATAGGAATCTGGTCTTGCTGGGTAAGGATGGCCTCCTCCCCTGCTTTGAACTTACCCAGTGTGGTACCTTTGCTTTCTCAGTTCCTAGGAGCTCTGAGAATCAAAGATTCTTAATCGCTGTGTAAGTCCTGAGACAGGCAATGTCTACTTTTGTTTCTGGATATATGTGTAATTCTGCCAGAGTTAGAGATGGACACCTTTGGATTGTATTTTCCTAGGTGGTAGCATCCTTCTCTACTCCCTGACCAAGGATGTTGAGACAAAGTTCTAGTGAAGATACCTTTTAAGAAATGGGTGCTTGGGGCACCTGGGTGGCTCAGATGGTTAAGCGTCTGCCTTTGGCTCAGGTCATGATCCCCGGGTTCTGGGATCAAGCCCCACATCGGGCTCCTGGCTCAGCGGGGAGCCTGCTTCTCCCTCTCCCTCTCCCCCTGTTCCTGATCTCTCTCTCTCTCTCTCTGTATCTCTGTGTCTCAAATGAACAAATAAAATCTTTAAAAAAAAAAAGAAAGAAATGGGTGTTTATTGTTTTAATAGAGAGAGGTAAAAACAAGTGACTTAGTTGTTTTGCTCAAGTAGACCCCATATCCATCTTCCTACCTTCTTAGCACTGTTGAGGGAGAAATCTAGAACTGACCTCTCTCTTTCTTTCTCTCTCCTTTTTTTAAAGATTTTATTTATTTGGCAGAGAGAGAGCCAGACAGCACAAGCGGGGGGAATGGCAGAGGGAGAGGGAGAAGCAGGGAGCCCGATGCGGGGCTTGCTCCCAGGACCCCAGGATCATGACCTGAGCCAAAGGCAGACGCTTAACCGACTGAACCACCCAGGCGCCCCTCTTTCTTTTTCTTATACTATCTTCCCTAATGACCAAGGAAATAACACTTGTTACCAAACGAATTTTTCTTTTCCCATGAACAGGGCTTCTAATTTCCAAGCCTGATGTCATCTCTCAGCTGGAGCGTGGGGAAGAGCTAGAGAGAGAAGTATCAAAAGCACCAGGTGAGTGATAACATAAAGCCCAGATGGTCAGTAGGATCAAATGGGGCCAAAGCATCTTTGAAGTGCTTGTGGAGGAGCCTTTCCAGATTTCACTAGACCCGTGGAAAAGTTGAAGTGAAGTCCCTTTCTCCCATGCCACACTCCAGCTCTGTGGATGATCATCTTTTATAAATGCATACTTTTTAAATTTTTTTTTTTTTAGAAAATAAATACTTTCCACCCTTTCAAACCTATTCTTTTTCCCAAATAAGGTAAAAATTAAGTCAACATTTTAATATTTGTTCATAATATGCTTGGGTGTTAGGCTCTAAACCAGGCTTTTTCATATTATTTTTTATTTTATCTCTGCAGGAAAGTGTGACTTTTTATCTCGGACCAATGACTAAAAATCGATCTCTGAGTTTCCCCTTGCCTTCCTCTTTATCTAAGTAGAGATAGCATAGAATAGTGGTTGCATGCAGACTTTGGAACCAGTCTAAATGTGTTCAAAGCCAGTCTTAACTACTTAATAGCTCTGTGACCTTTAACAAGTGAATTACCCTCTCTGTGACTCAAAGTCCTCAACTATAAAATGGGGATAATGATAGCACTTAACTCATAGGGTTGCTGTGAAGATCAAATGAAATAATTCAAAAGAAATGCTTAGAATAGTACCTGACCAAATGCTAAGCAAGTAATAACTATTGATTAAGTCCCGGTAAATTATTTTGAGAGATATCATGAATTTGACCTGATCATTTCTATCAAAGTGGATACCACAATGGACTACCTGCTAATTATACGTTCCTTCGTCTTACCCTTGTCTAACTGAGGCAGCATACCACTGCTGGATTCCCCACTCTGCCAGTTCTGTATTCCTCTACCTGCTTTCAAGGCTTTTGTTACTACCTGCCTAACCATTTCACCTACTTTATCCTTCAACTTGAACCCTTAACACGAGACAGGCAATCTCCTTTCCTCCATTAACTGTGTTCTCCACGGATATTTCGGGATTTAATTCTTCCATTCCCCTTAGCTGAAAGTCCGTTTGCCTTTAACTTGTTTCTACCCATTTGCCCTTTAAAATCCCAGGTACTGGGCGCCTGGGTGGCTCAGTTGGTTAAGCGACTGCCTTCGGCTCAGGTCATGATCCTGGAGTCCCAGGATTGAGTCCCGCATCGGGCTCCCTGCTCAGCGGGGAGTCTGCTTCTCCCTCTGACCCTCCCCCATCTCATGCTCTCTCTCTCATTCTCTCTCTCAAATAAATAAAATCTTTAAAAAAAAAAAAAATCCCAGGTACTTCCCTGATTATATGTAGTTGAGAACATTGTATTGTATTGATTTATTTCATATAGAGTCATGGTTGGAATGGATATTAAAGACCATTTAAGCCTGGAAATATTTAAACATTTTTAGCTTTTCTCCCAAAACTCTTACGAGGAAACCTAGGATTTGGGGCAGTTTTCCTGACAGGTTGGGAACCAATCTGAGCATCTAGGGATTTGACCCTTCTACTCCCTACATGCTGCTCTTTTTTTTCAAACTTCATTCTATTTAACTCTTTATAGGGCCTTTTTTTTTTTTCCAAGATTTTATTTATTTATTTGACAGAGAGAGACACAGCGGGAGAGGGAACACAAGCAGGGGGAGTGGAAGAGGGAGAAGCAGGCTTCCCGCGGAGCAGGGAGCCTGATGTGGGGCTTGATCCCAGGACCCTGGGATCATGACCTGAGCTGAAGGGAGACACTTAACGACTGAGCCACCCAGGCGCCCCTCTATTTAACTCTTTAAAGTTTGTTAGGTGTGGGGCAGTCAGAGGTGATCAGTTACTTTTTTTTTTTTAAGATTTATTATTTTATTTTATTTTAAAAATATTTATTTATTTGAGGGAGAAGAGGACAAATGGGAGGGGCAAAGGGAGAGGGAAAGAGAATCCCAAGTAGATTCCATGCTAAGCGCAGAGCCTGACATGGGGCTCAATCTCACGGCCCTGAAACCATGACAGCTGAAATCAAGAGTTGAACGCTTACTGACTGAGCCACCCAGTTGTTTGATATGCTTCTTAATCACTAAGCTTTGTGATGATGTGAATTTGCTGCTCTGGACCACTTTGTTTCTTTGTTTTTTTTTTTAATTTTTTTTAAGGTTTTATTTATTTATTTGAGAGAGAGAGAGAGCGAGTGCACAAGAGCAGGGGGAGGGCCAGAGGGAAAGGAAGAAGCAGACTCCCCACTGAGCAGGGAGCCTGATGCGAGACTCCATCCCAGGACCCTGAGATCATGACCTGAGCAGAAGGCACACACTTAACCAACTGAGCCACCCAGCACCCTGATCTGGACCACTTTGAATGCTAGCTTAGAGAATCAGTGTCTCATCTTGAGACCGTGGAACCAACAGAGTTTTTTTTTTTAAGGTTTTGAAGGTTAGTCTGTTAGCAGTGATTGGGAAATCCTGGGATGGGGAAAGATTGGTAGCAAGGAGATCAACTAACGATGGTCTTTCTCAAGGCATGAGGTGCAGAGGCTCCAGTGAGGGGGTAAGAGTGGGCAATCCCTGCAAGACTGTCTTTTCTGTCTCCACCTCACCCATTTTTAAATCTCATCTGCCATTTACCCACATGACCTCTGCCTAGTCTTATTCTCTGTTATTCTTACTCATCTCCTACCTGTCTAGATAAAAGAGTATTGAGTGCCTGCTCACTCTTTCACTTCTGTGCAATTGCATTTCTTTGCCCACTCACCTTTCTTTTCTCAAGTTCTTTCAGAATTGCAAAGCTATTTTTGAGAGCTTTCAAGTTCCTGTGTTCTCTTGTAAGTATTCATTTGTTTATTTTTCATTCTTTTCCTACCACAGCAGTTATTTTTCTTTCCCATGCAGGAAATGATATATGTGTATTTTTGTTTCTTTCAGACTGGGAGACAATACCAGAAAGCAAGGAGCTTACTCCAGAGCAGGATATTTCTGAGGAAGAATCAGCCGCTGGTGTGTTAATAGAAAGATTCCCAAAGGAAAGTTCCAGTGAATGTGAGGATTCTTCAGAGAGTCAGGAGGAAAACCATGAGAAACATTTAATACAGGAGGTTGTCACTCAGAAGAAATCTTCTGGGGAGGGAAGTTACCAGTGTGATGAATTTGGGAGAAGTTTTAGTCAAAGATCATTACTTACTCAACAGCAAGGAGAGAGACTACATAACTGTGATTCATTTAAAAAGAACTTAAAACAAAATTCAGATCTAATGAGGCACGAGAAAATTTGTACAGAGAAGAAACCTTGGAAGTGTAATGAGTGTGAGAAAGCCTTTAGTTACTACTCAGCTTTTGTCTTGCATCAGAGAATTCACACAGGAGAAAAGCCCTACGAATGTAACGAATGTGGTAAAGCTTTTAGCCAGAGCATACACCTTACTCTACACCAGAGAATTCATACTGGAGAGAAACCCTATGAATGTCATGAATGTGGGAAAGCCTTCAGTCACCGCTCTGCCCTTATTCGGCATCATATCATTCATACTGGAGAGAAGCCCTATGAATGCAATGAATGTGGGAAGGCCTTTAATCAGAGCTCGTACCTCACTCAACATCAGCGAATTCATACTGGAGAGAAACCTTATGAGTGTAACGAATGTGGGAAGGCCTTTAGCCAAAGCACATTCCTTACCCAGCATCAGGTCATTCACACTGGAGAGAAACCCTATAAGTGTAATGAATGTGGGAAAGCCTTTAGTGATCGATCAGGCCTTATTCAGCACCAGAGAACTCATACTGGGGAGAGGCCTTATGAGTGTAATGAGTGTGGGAAAGCCTTTGGCTACTGTTCAGCCCTGACTCAACACCAGAGAACTCACACTGGGGAGAAACCCTATAAATGCAATGATTGTGCCAAAGCCTTCAGTGACCGCTCAGCCCTTATTCGTCATCAGAGAACACACACTGGAGAGAAACCTTATAAGTGTAAGGACTGTGGAAAAGCTTTCAGCCAGAGCTCATCTCTTACAAAGCATCAGAAAACTCACACTGGAGAAAAGCCCTATAGATGTAAGGAATGTGGAAAAGCTTTCAGCCAGAGTTCATCCCTTTCTCAACATCAGAAAACCCATGCTGGAGGGAAAACCAAAGAATACGGAAAAGCGTTTAGTGAGCATTCAGCCTTTGGCCAGCAAAAGAGAATTCATACTGGATAAAGACTATGTAAATGTGGTACATTCAGAACATATTTATCGAACAATTACTAAACGTGGTGTGAGGGCTACAAAGGAATTTCAGAGTGTGTTACACAAAAGACATTAATTGAGAAGTCATTGCTGATACAAGGCATAGCTTACTTAGAATGTGAAGGAGGGGTTTTACATTTTTTCAGTGCAGCAGAGGACTTTGAGTTTTCTTGGGGAAAGAGGAAGATTATTTCCAACCCTAAGGTGTATGTAAGCTTCCAAATCCTTGTGGGAGAAATAGGGTGTGCGATGATGCAAAGAAGAGATCTTGTCTGGGCTGGATAGTCTCTCTTTTTTTTTTTTTTAAGATTTTATTTATTTATTTGACAGAGAGACACAGCGAGAAAGTGAACACCAGCAGGGGGAGGGGGAGAGGGAGAAGCAGGCTCCCCGCAGAGCAGGGAGCCTGATGTGGGACTTGATCCCAGGACCCTGGGATCATGACCTGAGCCGAAGGCAGTCGCTTAACCGACTGAGCCACCCAGACGCCCTGGGCTGGATAGTCTCTTAATGCTAAGGAGATGAAGCTTTAAAGAGATGAAGGTTTCTTTTCTTTTTTTTTTTTTTTAAGAGATGAAGGTTTCTTTAGGGAAATTGCAGAGGCAGAAATAAGAGATTAAGAATTCACAATGAGCTTGTCCGGGGTTTGGGAGTAGAGGTGGAAGGAAAGTTGTCCTTAGGCTTAAGTATAAGGTCACTTAGGAGATAGATGAGAAGGTTTGAGAAAAAGAACTGGGGGAGTGAACTCAAGAAATGTTGACTGAGATAACTACTCAAATGAGTGCTCCTAACCAGGGAAAATATTAGTCAGACTCATTAGTTGGTCAGGTGCAAAGTTTCCACCCTGATGCCAAGGAACATTGGCCTGGCAGTCTGCTTCTGCGCTTTCGTCTTGGAGACCTTGCTTATTGATTCACAGCCTGCTAAGAATCCTATTAACTCCAGGGGTTAAGACTGACAGCCTAGAAAGAGAAGGTATAGGAGGGACCTTTGATGTTTTCAGTCTATCTTAAGCTACCTATTTTAAGCTAAGTTACCCGAGAATGTGCTTATTTATAAAGATTTTACCTCAATCATATGTAGTTTGTACTTTAGACTTATTCATACCATAGTCAAATTAAGTTGTAGACCTGAGCTGACACTGCATATTGGATTGTGAAAGATTCGAAGGCTTTGAAATACTTACCTTTCACCATTTTATTCTTGGGTAGAGGCACATGACAGCCTTGTATATATGTATATATTTTTTTTCATTGAAACTTCGAAGGTTATTGCACATATTTTGAGTATTGTGTTTTTAGTTTTCACAAGTTTGATGATATTTCTTGATATGGATTTCTTTGAGTTTATCCTGTTTTCTGAACTTCAATCTGTAGGTTTATGTGTTTGGGAATTTTTAGCCATCATTTCTTTGAACACGTTTTCCAGCCCTCACTCCTTTTCTCCTTCCAGGACCCTGATGACACACATGTTAGATCTTTGATTGTAGTCCCACAAGTTCCTGAGGCTCTGTTCTGTGTTTTGTTTTGTTTTGTTTCCAGTATATTTTTATCTCAATCTGCTCCGGCTACCATAACAAAATAATGTAGAATGGGGGGCTCAAACAACAGAAAGGAATTTCTCACAGTTTCGGAGGCTGGGAAGTCCAAGATCAAGGTGTCAGCTTTGGCCTCTAGTGAGGGCTCTCTTCCTGGATTGCAGAGGGCCACCTTCTTGCTGTAGCCTCATGAGGCCTTTTTTTGGTGCTTGCATGGGAAAAGAGAGCTCTCTCCTATTTCCTATAAAGCTGCCAGTCCTATCTGGTTAGGACCCCAGCCTTATAACCTCATTTAACCTTAATTACCTCTGAGAAGCCCTGTGTCCAAATACAATCACTTTGAGAGTTAGCACTTCAACATATGAACTTGGGGGACGCACAATTCAGTACATAGCATTCTGCCCCTAGCTCCCCCAAATTCATGTTCATGCAAAATACATTTGCTCCATCCCAACAACCCCTCAAATCTTAACTCATTGCAGCATCAAGTCTGAAGTCTTACCTAAATATCACATAAATCAGATACGGGTGAAGCTTAAGGTATAATTTATCCTGAGGCAAAATTCTTGTTCAGCTGCAAATCTCTGAAACCAGTTAAGTTCTATGCTTCCAAAATATAATTGTGGGACAGGCATTTGATAAATATCCTCATTCCAAAAGAGGAAAGAAGGAAGGAGTGAGAGGTCCCCAGCAAGTCTAAAACCCAGCAGGACAAATTCCATAAAATCTTCAGTCTTGAGAACAAATGCTGTTTGGCTTGATGCCCCACCTTACAGACCCACTGAGGCAGTGATCCCACGTTTTGGACCCACTGGTACAGCAGTCTCACCACCAAGGCTCTGCTGGCCTATTGAAACTGAGATGATGTCCCTACCCTTTGAAACAGGAGGCAGCAATGATCCTGAAATTGACTTGAGTCACTCTTTTTTTTTAAACATAAAGCATGTTCATGGCTGAGTAGCTTTATTGTCCAGTCCTGTAGGATCGAAGAAGTTGGACAGTCTTCCTCCATTTGTCTAGTTTTTCTTCCCTTGGGTGTCAGCTGGCTTGTTTCTGCTGGTATAATCCCTGGCTTCTGTGGAGATGCCTGAACTTAATCACACCCATGAGTCACACCCATGATCTCTTTTTCAAATGGTTGTTCAGCCACACCCTTAGTGTTCTCGGCAGAACAAGCTTTCTCATATTTTGCAACATGGGTGGACAGAATTTTCTAAATCTCCAAGTTCTGGGGTTTTGTTTTGTTTGGTTTTTTGTTGTTGTTGTTTTTGTTTTTGCTTAACAAGTCTTCTTCAATTTATCTCTCACCTCTCATATTTTTATAAGCAGTAAGGAGGGCCCGAGCTGCACCTTTAACACTTTGCTTGGAAATCTGTGTTGAATGTCCATAGTTTCTTCGCTCGCAAGTTCTACCTTTCACAAAACACTAGAACACCATTCAGCCAAGTTCTTTACCACTTTACAATAAGGACTGCCTTCCTTCCAGGTTCCAGTAACGTGTTCCTCATTTCTGTCTGAGATTTCATCAGAGCAGCCTTTAACATCCATATTTATAGTGTGCACCTCAAAACTCTGCCATCCTCTACCCATTACTCAGTTCCGAAGGTACTTCCACATTTTTAGGTATTTGTTAGAGCAGCATCCCTCTTCTAGGTGCCAAAATCTGTTAATCTGCTTGGGGGTGCCATAACAAAATACCATAGACTAGGGGGCTCACACAACAGAAGTTAATTTCTCACCATTCTAGAGGCTGGGAGGGCCAAGATCAAGGTGTCTGCTGATGGGTTTCTGGTAAGAAGGTTCTCTTCCTACTTGTGGATGGCCACCTTCTTGCAGTGTCCTCACAATCCTTCCTCAGTGCGTGCGTGTGCAGAGAGAATTCTCTCTTACAAGGCTACCAATCCTATCAACTTAAGACCCCATACTTATGACCTCATTTAACTTTAATACCTTCTACAAACCCTATCTCTAAATACAGTCACATTGATTAGGGCTTCAACATGAATTGGTGGTTGGGGGATGGTTGACACAATTCCATCCATGGTAATTTTCTTTCTGTTCAGATTGGGTATTTTATATTGTTTTATCTTCAACTTCACTGATTCTTTCCTCTGCTTCTTCCATTCTGATGTTGACTCCATCATTGGATTTTATTTCAGTGATATTTTTCAGTTCCATTTGATTCTCTGTATTCTATTTCTTTAGTGAAACTATTTTCTAAATTTGTGTCAAGCATGTTTGTCATTGCTCATTGAGGCATTTTAATGATGGCTGTTTTAAAATCTTTTATCAGGTAATTCTAACATCTGTGTCATTTTGGCGTTGGCATCTGTGGGTTGTCTTCTCATTCAAGTTGAGATTTTCCTTCTGTGTGTGCTGGCAATTTTCAGTTGAAATCTGGGCATTTTGAGTATTATGAGGATCTGTGTCCTATTTAAAGCTTCTGTTTGGGCAGGCCTCTGTGGAGAAAGGGTTGGGGGGATACTGCTTATTACTATAGGTTGGTGTTGGAAGTGCAGGGTCATCATTGGCCTCTGCTGACACCTGGATAGGGGGCCTCACTCCGGCAGGTAGGGGTGGGGGTTACAACTCCCTACCAGACCTCTACTGACACCACACCAGCAAGGAAGGGGAGAGACGTCTCTGGTTAGGATTGGAAGCCTACTCCCCGCGTCGTCTTCAGTGGATGCTGCCAGGGTAGGATGGGGAAAGAGTTGGTTTGGAAAATTCTGTCCTGACTTGACCCTCTCTGATACCATTGTGGTGTGGGGGTGGAGCACTGAGGAAACTCGTTACAGACTGGTAGAAGTGTAGCCTCCCCACTTGGTCTTGGGTCTTCGGCTGGAGTAGGATGGTTATTGTCTAAAAGTTTGTCTTCCTAGGCCACTTCTTTCCTCATCCTTTTTCCAGAAAGAACAGACTTTTCTTGGCCCTCCCCCCCGCCCCCCAGCTTTTTTTTTGGTCTGTGCTCATTGGCATTTCTCGGTTGCCAGCTTCTTCAGAATCCAGTCTGGGATAGATGAGGCAAAAGGAAAACCCAAGGACCTCAGTGCTGTGGTGTTCTTCAGGTCCTGAGGTGCCCAACTGGTCTGCATTCTTTCCACCTTTCAGAATCTTACGTTGTTTTATACAGAATGTCCATTGTTTTTAGCTGTACTTTGAGAAATAGGGAAAAGCACTACTACATATTCCCCATGACATCCTTTAATTTGACACCAAAATAGCAGGTCAAGTTGTTGTCAGATTTTTGTGGCATACATAGGTCATTTGCAACCAGTTAGAATTAAGTACCAAGAGGAGTGCTCACTTGTTCTTCAATAAAAGTTACCACATTGGTAGGTAGGAACTACCAGGCTGCAAGCTTCATCTAGCTTTCAAGGAACTATAGTGTTTAAGTTGAGGAAATGCCAGTATTTAATTGTAGATTATAAATTTCAGAAGGAAGGATAGATATGATTAAGAATATAAACATATAAACTATTGTGTTAATTTTTTTAATTTATAGCTTTGTTCCAAGAGCATGTAAAAACCACTGGAGAATTGAATTCAGAATTTTGGTGTGCTTTTTTTTTCTATAATGTATTACCTGTATGTAGATATCTGTTCATTTTAATTTGATATATAACACAGGATATCATAGAGAACCAACAAAGAATGAAAATAATTGGGATTTGGGACAAATCACTTCATCCTTTTAAATCTGTTTCCTCATTTGTATATTTTTAAAAAATGTAATACCTCCTTCAGAGTGGCTAGATTATGTAGATAATGGATGCAAAGTGATTTGCAAGCTGTCAAGTGCTATATAACTATTAGGTGTTGTTGACATAGTCATTTAAGGCCTGTTCATCATGTATGCTTTATGATGGTGTAGTCCAATAAAAATGATGAATATAATGGAATGTGTCTTTTTATATTTTCTTAAAAATAACTTTTCTTGGACAGAAGTAAAATGTGTATCTTTTGAGATGATCATATGGTTTTCTTTAATCTGTTAATGTGGTAAATTATAATGATAGATTTTTTTTTTAAGATTTTATTTATTTATTTATTCATGAGAAACAGAGAGAGAGAGAGAGAGGCAGAGGGAGAAGCAGGCTTCCCGCGGAGCAGGGAGCCTGATGTGGGACTCGATCCCAGGACCCTGGGATCATGACCTGAGCCGAAGGCAGACACTTAACCATCTGAGCCACCCAGGCACCCGATAGATTTTTTTTTTAATGATAGACTTTCTAATGCCAAAAATACTTGCATTCTTGGGATTATCCAACTTCCCACTTCTGAAAGAGTTTGTTAGGGTTCTCCAAAAACACACAACCAATAGGATATATATATTCTATTGGATAAATAGTGATATTTATTATAAGGAATTGACTCATGCATTTATGGAGACTGATGTGCCATGGCCTATTGTCTACAAGCTGGGGACCCAGGAAAACTGGGAGTGTCATTCCAGCCCAAGTCCAAAGCCTGAGAACCAAGAGCACCAAGGGCAGAAGACCAATGTCTCAGCTCAACAGTCAGGCAGGGAGAGCTAATTCAACCCTCGGCCTTTTTGTTCTATTTAGGCCCATAACATAGTGGACGATGCCCACCCTCACTGGAGAGGCACTCTGATTTTTCTCAGTCCCCCAATTCAAATGCTAATCTTTTCTGGGAACACCTTCACAGACACACCCAGAAATAATGTTTAACCAGGTATTTGGGCATCCCTAGCCCCGTCAAACTGATACATAAAATTAACCATTACACTAATATATTTTTATCAGTTAGTCTTGTTCTATTTGCCTTTCCCCTCTTCTTTCTTGTTTCCTTTTGGATTGATTAATACGTTTTATTTCTTACTTTACAGGTTTGAAATGTATATACTCTGTTTCTATTCTTTTTAATGGTTATTGTTAACATTTTTAACAAGCTGAATTATATTAAAGCATGTTTAACTGAAACTCTAAAATTAATATCATTATTGTTCCTACAAAGACATTAAATACCCTAGAATGTTTTAACTTCAATCACAACTGTATCAGTTATTGCTGCATAGCAAACCAGTCTAAAATTTAGTGGTTTTTTTTTTTTAAGATTTTATTTATTTGAGAGAGAGAGGGAGCACGAGTGTGGAGGGGGGCAGAGGGCGAGGGAGAAGCAGACTCCCCCCTTAGCGCAGGGCTCCATGCGGGGCTCAGGACCCCAGGACCTTGAGATCATGACCTGAGCCAAAGTCAGACACTTAACCGACTGAGGCACCCCTAAAATTTAGTGGTTTAAAACAGCAGCTACATATGAATCCTCATGAATCTGCAGGTCAGCTGGATGGTGCTGCTGATCTGGTCTCAGCCGGGATTGGTCCTGTGTCTGTAGTCAGGGGGTGGGTTGGCTGAGGCTGGCTGGCAGAGGTTGGCCTTGGATGGAAAGGCTCTGCTCTCCTCCCTAATGTTCCGGTGGGCTAGCTCTACATGCTCTCCTGGTGGCAGGTCCAAGAGAATAGAAGCATGCAAGGCCATCTGAAACCTCAGCTCAAAACTAGCGCACCCAAACTTTCATCACATTCCATTGGCCAAAGCAAGTCACAAGGCCAGCCTTGATTCAAGAGGTGGGGAAAGAGACTCCACCTCTGTATCAAAGGAACTGTACAATCACATCACAGAGGGTGTGGACACAGGGAGGGGTGAAGAACTGGGTCAGTTTGCAACCGATATACCACACTCCCCGCCCTCCCCCACACCCCACCATCTTAAGTATAAGTGCTAACATTGTCATTGTTCAGATTCACGCAAATGTTTATCTTTATTCCTTCTTGCATTCCAGAAGAACTTCCTCCTGGAGGCATATCCTTTCTTCCTGAATGAGATCTTTTAGAGGTTACTCTGGTAAGGATCTGCTGATGGTAAAATGTCAGTTTTTGTTGACTGATGTCTTTATTTTTGCCCCAGTCCTTGATGTATAATTTCAGCAGGTAAAGAATTCCAGACTGGCTGTTATTTTTCTCTCAGAACTTGAAAGATATTGTTCTACTTTAATCTGGCTTGGTTTCTCATGGTTTCATAATCATGAGTTATGAGCTTAACTGTTATTGACCTTACTGTGTGGGAATACTGAAAAAATGGGTTGTGGGTGTTTCTCCAGAGAAGAATTGAATAAATCCATTTTGTCAACTGAGATTTCCTGGACCATGCAGGAAATATTACCTCAAATGACAAACGCTCCTCAAATAGGTCTGTGATTATGATTTACTAGAGGAAAATCCCCATCCCCAACTTCCATCACCAAGTTTGGGGGTGCTCACGTAAGTGTCTCTGTGGACTCCCCTTTTTGGTGGTTAGATGTATTTTCTGCCTCCTTTTCACGAAGGATCTCAATCATATGTGGTGTCCTAGATCTAACTCATCACTCTGATCCGGGCCAAGTCCTTGTCTCCTGGCCTCCAGTGGCTCTTAAATCCCCAAGTTCCAGGTTGTTAAGATTGGCATGCAAGGCAGGAAATTTGTGGTTTATTTTGTTCTTAGAAATGGCAGTATTTTAGGGGCACCTGGGTGGCTCAGGAGGTTAAGCGTCCGACTCTTGGTTTCAGCTCAGGTCATGATCTCGGGGTGGTGAGACCGAGCTCCACACTCATCTCAGAGTCTGCCTGAGGATTCTCTCTCTCTCCTTCTGCACCTCTCACTCTCTCTCAAACAAATAAACAAACAAATAAATAAATAAAATGTTAAAAAAAGAAATGGCAGTATTTTATTAACCTAATGAATTTTACAATGAAACAACAGCAGGAAGGAAGCTGAGGATCCTCCCTCTTTTCTTTTTTTTTTTTTTAAAGATTTTATTTATTTATTTGAGAGAGAGAGAGTGAGAGAGCACAAGAGGGGGGAGCGGGAGAGGGAGAAGCAGACTCCCCGCTGAGCAGGGAGCCCGATGCGGGACTCGATCCCGGGACTCCAGGATCATGACCTGAGCCGAAGGCAGTCGCTTAACCAACTGAGCCACCCAGGCGCCCAGATCCTCCCTCTTTTCCTCCCTTCCTTCTCCTTTTTCTTTTCCTTCTACCACATTTGCTTTGTCTATATATATTTTCCTTTGCTGAACTATTTGAAACTAAATTGCCTACATTGTGGCATTTCATCCTGATGTTGTACGTTTTGTATGGCAAGAACATTCTCCAACATAAGCACAATGCCATCATTCAACTCAAGAAATGTAACATTTATTCAATAATGTTATCTAACATAGAGCCAGTTTTAACTTATTCACACTTATCCCAAAATGTCATTTACAGACCCACCTCCTAGTTTCCAGTCAATGATGACACGTTGCAATGTTTGTCCTGCCTCTTTAGTCTTCTTCAGTCTAGAATGGTCTTTCGACCTCTCTAGTCTTTCATTTTGAGAGGTCCAGGCCAGTTGATTTGCCAAATGTCCCACAATCCGTATTTTTGGATTACTTTCTCATGATTAGATTCAGATTAAGCATTTTTGGCAAGAAATCTACATAGATGTTGTGTGATCCTCAAGTCACATCAAGAGACTCAAGATGCCAGTTTGTCCTGTTATTCCTAATGCTAAATTTGATTACTTTGTTTACGTGTGGTGCAGTCCAAATTCCTTCATTGTAATTAATAATCTCTCCTTTTGGACTTAATAAGTAATCTATGAATACTTTGTTTCCCAGCAACAACCTTCCCCCAATGTTTTTGGACTCATTGATGACCCCTGCCTGAATCAATTATTAGTACTTACAGAATGGTATTTTTCTAACTCTGTCATTCCTTCTACATCAAGTAGCTGGCTGGCATCCTTACAAAAAGAACAACTTTCCATCACCACCTCCCGCCCTGTTTTTGTGGTATCACTGTGGGTTCATAGATTTCTTTTTCAAATTTTATTTTAATTGAGGTTAAACATTCCTAACATGTATAAATCTTTAGTATGCAGCTTGATGAACTTTTACATATGCACAGACCCACGTAACCACCAACACATTTTAGGTCAGGATACAGAACATTTCCATTATTCCCGGAAGGCTCCCCGTTGCCTCTTTTCAGTCAATCCACCCCCACCCCACCTCATCTTCCCAGCCTCTCACCTCCCTGTCCCCCAAAGTAATTACTGTTTTGGTTTCTATTATCCTGGACTAGTTTTACCTATTCTTGATCATCATTAAAAAAAAAAATCATATAGTATTGGGCTGCCTGGGTGGTTCAGTCAGTTAAGTGTCTGACTCTTGGTTTTGGTTCAGGTCTGATCTCAGGGTTATGATATCGAGCCCCATGTCAGGCTTCCTGCTCAGCATGGAGTCTGCTTGAGTTTCTCTCTCCCTCTTCCGCTGCCCCTCCCTCCCTTCGTGCGAGCTCACTCTTGCTCTCTCTCACTAAAGTAAATAAATCTTTTTTAAAAAAATCAAATAGTATGTAATTTTTTGTATCTGGCTTCCTCACTCCACATTTTGTGTAATTCAACCATCTTGCATGTATCAGTAATTTGTTCTTTTTCACTGATGGTGTAGTATTCCGTTGTATGAATATATGGCAGTTTGTTTATCCATCCTACTGTTGATGGATATTTGAGTTGTTTCCAGTTTGGGGCTATTATGAGTATAACCGTTATGCACATTCCTAGTAGACATATGTTTTTCTTTTGGATATATATGTATTTAGGAGTAGAATTCCTGGGTCATGGATCACGCATATGTCTAACTTTAGAAGATAATGTCAAATGGTTTCCAAATGACTTTAGCAATTTACAACACCTCTATCAGGAAAGTATGAGAGTTCCAGCATAGCGAGAACCATGAGAAACCAAGCCAGATTAAAGTAGAACAATATCTTTCAAGTTCTGAGAGAAAATGGAGTTACATGTTTTTCAACATGTAACTTTAGTCTTTTAAATTTTAACGGCCTGGTTAGTAATCTCTCATGGTGGTTTTTATTTTCATTTTTCTGATAACTAATGATATTGATCACTCTTTCAAATGCTAATGGGACATCTGGATATCTACTTTTTTAAAAGTGACTAGTCAAGTCTTTTGTCCATTTAGAAGAATTTTTTGATTCATTTGTGGGAGTTCTTGATATATTCTTGACACAAGTCCTTTGTTAGATATCTATACTGAGAATTTGATCTCCCATTATTTTGTTATGATGAAATGGAGAAAGTGGGAGCCCTTCGTGCTGGCCCCTCTATCCTTTCCCTTGAGTGTACCCCACCTTTTTAGAGAAAGAGTGAGCACTTATACACACATGAAGGGAGGGAAGGGCAGAGGAACAGGGAGAGAGAATCCTAAGCAGGCTCCACACTGAGCCAGACGAGGCGCTCGATCACACGACCCTGAGGCCATGACATGAGCCAAAATCAAGTCAGGCACTTAATGGATTGAGCCACCCAGGCGCCCCTAAAGTGTGGTATTTTATAGAAGGTCTGCCTCACCTAATGCTGACATAATAGTTTATATGAAGGCTTCTTCTCCTTGTTTTGCTGCTCATGTAGAATTGGACTCCTCTGAACTTTAGAAATGAAAGGAATACTGCAGGTGGGAAGGTAAAAGTTCTATCACCATATTGGAAAATGATTTGGCAGCTTCTTATAAACATATACCTACACATTGACCCAGAAAGCTGACTCCTGAATATTTGCCCAAGATGTGAAAATATTTGTTAGTGAGAAAACTTACACAGAACATTCCTAGTACGTAGTACTATTCTTGGACACAGCCCAGATGTCCCTCAGCAGCTTAATTGAAAGACAAATTATGGCACATTCACGAAATGGACTATCATTCCACAATAAACAGAATGAGCTCCTAATACACGGATGAATTTCAAAAACATCATGTGGAGTGAAGGAAGTCAGAACACTACAGTGCAGACTATATGATTCTGTTTACATGGAACTCTAGAAAAGATAAAACTGGTCTCTAGCGACAGAAATTAGAAGAGTCACTGCCTCTTAGAGGAGGACTG